GTTTCAAAAAACTTTTTGTTTGAATTAGGGTGGTTATTTACAAAGTATGATATAAAGCAAGATATTTGTATTTACGTTGGCCATTCTTTTAATGAAACAATCTGGACTAATTCTTTCAATCTATCTTTAAGGAAAGGATGTGATTGAATATGTGTTTACAAAGATGTTGACAAAAGTCGTCCATTGTTGAAAATCGTGTGTTGCCATCTAAATTATTTTGTTGTTTTCTTGTGGTTTCGGAGTTGATGTATTATTGACTTACATCCTACCCCCTCCACCCACCCCCTTTCTATTCACATCTTTCTATTCATATCTTTCAATTATTAGGCTTTGAGACATATAATTCAAACCCTTACCAAGAAAAAACATATCTTGAATAGTACTAGTAGTATGTAAGAAGAACTATCAGGCCCTCGACTAACAAAATAATATGATATTATAGGGTAACCCGGGTTATTGCATGAATATTGTCCTGGGAATATCGTTATATTATACGAGCTTGCGTGTGGAATATCTATTCTACCAGGCATAATATTCACCAATATTCATGCATTCAACCTTTTATTGCACTAAAAAAGTGCTAAACATTTTTGTCACTGATGACGTTTCTAACTTGGAGCTATATTGCAATATGATAGAATGATGCACGCGTTGCTTTCATTATGTTCTGTGGGGTAATTGTGTTGCTATACAATAAAAATATATTTATATATAATAGCAGGTCAATCTCAGAAAGGCATCCGCTTTTTTATATGAGGCTTATAATTTGAAAATTTGGAAGGGTGATGTTTACATATCCTTTTAACAGTTTTGTGAATAATATAAAAAATGGATATTGTTCTGACATTAATAATTTATTGTTTTATACTGCATCTAAAACTGTCCACAATAATATTTATTACTTATTTTCCATCCCTAAATTAGACTCTGATTGTGAAGAAAAGTTATGTGAAATGAAACTGACATTACACAAAATAGCACGTTATTACTAAACATACTAACAAAACATTTTTTTTTAACATGAGACTGGTGATGCCATATGCTATCTTGTGAGCGTAAATTACCTTTAACCGTATATATAACCGGGTCGTTTAGATGTTTGACTTAACATCTTTCTAAGTTGCTTATTACATTATTTCTACAGTAAAAGAAGCTTGCTTTCAGAAATATTATGATGAGGTATATTCAACCAGTGGTGTCAATCAGATTTGGATTCTTAAAAATTCTAAAGATCTACTCCAAAATCTTCAATCTATACAATCGGCAGTAATAATTAAACTGTTGATTTTTTTCTATGCCTTTTACTGCTACTCCCAACCCTCAATTAAAAGATAGCATACATCGTTACATTAATTAGAGATTTTTCTAAACAAATTAGAATCGTTGATACAAATTGTTATAGGTCATGAAAAAATCTTTCTCTATGAGGAACCACAATGATTCGAACAACAAATAAACCGAAGATGATATCATTAAAACTCTGCTACATATCTTAATGTTTTCCCTGATATTAACACATATGGAAGACTTCAAACTTGAATCAATGACAAAAGTAATATAAGTCATTTCAACTTTCCAATTGTCAACTTCATATCTACCCGGTGGAAGGTGTATACATATCTCAAAACTAGTAATACGTCACGCTCGTGTATGTTTAAACTTTAAGGACTTCATTAACAAGGATGTGCTTCTAAAACAATCCAAAACCCTGCCCAAACAGAGTTATGAGGGAAAACGACTGACATCAATTCTACAGATATAAGTCACCATCACGAATTAGTTGACCGATACGAAGTGACCGTTTCTCAACTCACCACTAATATATTTTCGCGTTCTTAGATCTTTAGATAACATTATAGTCGTCTGATCTGTAAAACAAAATGTGCCCCAGTTTTGTACTCATAAGAAGCAGAATTCACACAGAACCTTCTCAAAGACAAAACAAATCTTGCAAAGTTCTTTAATTTCACTTTCATAATATTGATGATGTTCTATAACTCAATAACCCACATTTCAAAGAGTGCCTTCATCTCATATATCTCAGTGAACTCGAAATTAAGCATACTAGGTAGGTCATATTTTCAATTTGCCCTCGATATTGACACAGACGGACGGCTTCAGACTATAGAATGTATGACACACGTGATTAAACTTTCCAATTGTCAACTTTCCATTTCTCAGCAGTAACTTACCCTCTATTCCATCTTATGGCATTTACTTATCTCAGTTAATGCTTTGAGTTAGTGCATGTTCAAACTATATGGACTTTATTAACAGGGGGCGCTAAAAAAAACTGTACCAACAAAGATATTTAGACACCAGTATAGTCTTTACCGGTTGTGTTCTGTTCCCGATTGGGATATTTTTACTGAGTGTGAATTTGCATGGTGGTCGATGGATGCATAGCAGGAGATGCTTACCCTGTCGACGCACACGTCTTACTATTTTTGAAGTTAATGCGATTCCCTCATGTTTTGTTTGTTACCTTGATTTTTATTTTCCTAATCGAATTACAAGATTTACATATCGGTAAACTTATGTCGCCTTAATCTATTCTCGATTTTGACATTTTGACTGAGTGCGGATTATGTTTGCAAAGTAGGAAACGCTTACCCAGTCGACGCAACCGGTCTCGATCTCTGTAGAGTTCATGCGATTCTATCAGGTTTTGTTTGGTTATTTTTAACGTTGATTTGTATTTTCTAAATGCATTTTTGAGATTTGAACATCGGCAAAATGGATAAAGTGTAGATTAAGCTGGAATGTTTTTATTCTTCCAAAATAATAATTGTTATGACAAACCTTTATTTTTGTCAAAAGGTATCTTAAAACAATACTTTTTTGAAAAATAGGTCCATTCATATCATATGAATAACAATATGAATAAAACCGGATAGTCTAGATCATCAGTGTTGTCATTCAAAACAAAGGTCAAGTTATTTAAAAGTGTGGTTAGGCCTATATCGGTACTACTGTATAGATGTGAAACCTGGAAAACAACAAAACAAGACAAAAATAAATTAAACACCTTTCAAAATAGATGTATGAGACAAATTTTGAGAATAAGATGTCCCAACATTATATCAAATGAAAACCTTTCCATCAGAGCTGGTACAAAGATATTAAGTGATGATATTATGGAACGGCGTTGGAGATGGATTGGCCATGTACTTAGAATGGATACCAACCTTATATGTCCCGTGACACTGACATGGAAACCAGAGGGAAAAAGGAAGGTTGGAATTATATGTGAGGCGAGGTGAGTATAAAAAACCAGGGGTCTGAAAAGGATGTTCATTCATTTAATATAGACTTTCAAAGACGAAATTCCCAAAATGACAAAAACATTATAAAGCAATCAAAAAAGATGTTCATTTGATATATCATTTCAGCAAAGTTGACCTTATATACAATTTATGATTTCGTTATTCAAGCTCCGAAATGTTTAATGTACTTAGCTTCCTTAACGTCTGGCCTAGATGAAGGTTATTTAATAAACTGATAGCATATGCATTTATTAAGCTTTTTCCTAGTATTTTCCAAAGTTATTGTATAGTATTTCCCAAGGTTATTGTATAGTATTTCCCAAAGTTATTGTATAGTATTTCCCAAGGTTATTGTATAGTATTTCCCAAGGTCATTGTATAGTATTTCCCAAAGTTATTGTATAGTATTTCCCAAAGTTATTGTATAGTATTTCCCAAAGTTATTGTATAGTATTTCCCAAGGTTATTGTATAGTATTTGCCAAGGATATTGTATTACATGCATGAATCACATATCCCTTCTTTTCAAATGGGGTGAAATTGAATGAATATAATTGTAAAGAGGCCTTTTCAGAATAAAGACGGTTACAAACTTTAATCCGCAAAGCCTAAAATAAATACAAATTATTCCGTATTCAAAACCTGCAAATTTATACAAGAATATCTGGTAATCATTCGAAAATATTTCTACAACTGATACGATAGACATTACTAAAATGAGGAATTGAAAAATGGTGGTTAATAGTAAAGTTTTGTGGAATTGAGTGAAATAGAGAGAAATAAGTGCCAACGAAATTAGTTTAGGGAGTTGAGTAATGTATCCACACATACAAAACCTGTTGCAAACAATGTCGATAAACACAAAAATAAAATGGTTCTTTATTGACCAACGAAAACTTTCTTGGTTTCTTTTGGAACAAAATTTGCCAAAATCTATCAAATTTACAGTTTGTAAAGAAAGATAAATGTTCATTGACATAAAACGAAAACTCGTGTTGACCAAAGTCAGTTGATCCTCTCGTTTGTGCAAAAGAATGAAAGGTAAAGAATGGACTTTTTTTTTAATTTAAAGTGCGAATTTTGACCTTTTTTTTTATCTCATGGAAATACTTATTATTTTTCACGTCCTGTATTTAGTGAGGATTTCATGTTTTCTAAAGGGAATGGTACAGCCAACGTTAATTTCTGCTTTTAGATTCACTTCAGCTAGGTTCACGAAGTATTTTTATTCACCGTAAAAATTCAAGGATTGTGTTTTTAGTTAGATTGGAAGAATCTATACTTGTCTTATATCGTTTATATTATTTTCATCGTCCCATTGTTTTATTGAATGTTTTTCATCAATGATAATTTAAAAAGATTTGTAACTATCAATTTCCCAGCGTTCGCTCGTTTCTAATATGTGCGTAGAAAGGTAGGAATTTCTATTTTTTTTTTTAAATATGTCTATTTGTATATATTATCGTAACACTTTTTCATGATTAGCCCAATTTTAACTTCTAGATAAGTAAATTCACATTTGGTAATAACCTGAAATCACAATTTGGGCAAGTATAGCATTTATATATTTTTCTTTGACAAAATTTAAAACAAAAGACAAATTTAAACTAGCTGAACTTTGCCATTCGATAAAAACATTTACACACACATACATTTTTTTTTTAGTGTGTGACTGAAATTATTATAAGATTCACATCATTTAAATATATAGAATAATATGACAATTAAACAGATATTTTCTTTTAAAACTAAATTTAATCATAAATTCAACAACAAAAAATGTCATTTTCCATAAAGTGGAATGTCTCACTTTTGCCTGGCTAAATAAAATCAGTTGGAATCGTCGCTTTCTGGACTGTTTGATTCAAACACTTTGTCGTCCCACAAAGTGTGGTTGGATTGGTTTTCTGTATTCATATTAGTGTCTTCACCATCAGCTGACATTTCATGTTTTACTATCTCACCCTCATTTTCATTTGTCTCGGCTTTCTGATATTCCAAAACACCACTTAAAAGTCCTATATATTTTATTGTGAGTTTCAAAATTTCATGTTTACTTAGTTTCTTATCTGGTGGATGGGTAGGAACTAATCGTCGTAACTCAGCAAATGCTCCGTTAACGTTTTGTTGACGCCATCGTTCTCGGCTGTTCGTGAAATTACGCCGGGGACATCTTGATAATGGTTTACATTCGTACTCTCCATCAATTATTGACTGACTTAGGTTTCTTTGTCGTAAATCAAGAGGTGCATCTGGGAAAATGTTGTCAGCGGAATGAGAATAGAAAGGTCTAGGCGACAGCAGTGGATATGGAACACTTTGTAGACAAATATAACCAGTTTCAGCTGGTCTTTCAGAGTCATAAAACACATTATCATCTCCTTCCTCGGAATCTTTTATGTATTCATCTTTTTCTTCGGATAAAGTTCGGACAGAATCAAATCTCGCATCGTACATGGCCTCACTACCGGAACCTAATACGAATTTTTCTGTAAGACATGTTTTTGAGTCTCCACCTTTTTGTTCAGAAGCATTGTTCAGCAATTCATCCCGAAGATACAAAACTGCTCTTGATATTGGCATTTTTTAAAATGGCAACATAACTTCTGCAAAGAAAAAAGTAATAAAAGACAAATGATATCTATGTTATGTATATTTTAAATAACTTTTCCTTCTGATAAGTAATTAATTTCAATCAATACATATATATTTAGGTTGCAAATATTTAGTACGGTTTGTATTGGTGTAGGTTCCTGTTGCATCACTGATTAAAAAAAGATTCATGATACCGGTATGTTGAAATTACATTAAATGATCTATTAATTTTAACTGGACACCTTTAATCGTATTATGGCGACATCGAAATTACGTTATTATTTTTTTTTTATTTACTATTTAGTGGGTTTAGTAGAAGAAAGTAACATACACAGAAAAAAGATTTAACAGCAAAGTTCAAGCATGGCAACAGAAAACAGCAAAGTTCAAGCACGCCATATAGAATTAAAAGAGCATTTTCAAGCATGACAACAGAAAATAGCCATGAAAGTTCAAGCATGACAATAGAAAACAGAAAAGTTCAAGCATGACAATAGAGAAGATGAGATTTTTGAAAAAAAATGAACTTTTCAAGTTTACTTATAACGAGTAACATGAGCGAATAAATTAGGCCTGAAGTTAAACAAAAATGAAGCAATGAATACAATGACGACTTTTATCATTAGCCTAAATATATTGACCTTGATGCTTGTTTGTATAAAAATAACACAAGTAACATTGAGTGTTCATTAATAGCTATTAATCATAATCAATCAAGAGTTCCTGAAACACGACGCTAAATAATTAGTTGTTGTTGACTTTACTGACCCTCTTACGTAAAAGTTACTACTTATATTTGACTAGACACTCTTTCAACAGTAGCTAACCAAAGAAGTAAATAAGAGTACTTAAGTACTAAATAGTCTGGGTCAAATTCTAATATCAATGGAGACATATATCACCGCAACCCAAAAAGATCTTTATCGGATTGAAAAATATGAAAGCTTTACTACATATCTATATCTAAAATGTAAAAAATTGAAGAATGAAACTTTACATTCAACTATACACTTTCAGATTACGAAAAGTTCAAAATCATGCCGCTCAAGGCGACAAATTTTTATGCCTATTGCCTTCAAAATAAACCTTTTATATAGGAAAACCCAATCTTAATTTAGTTAATGCGGGTTAATGATAGATCCATCAGTAACTAAGATTCAGATCATTGATTAGCCTTAAACAGTATGTATATCAGCATTACATTATATATAACAATTGAGATTCGTGTTTGTTCAACAATAGCTGAACTTCAAGGCACATTACACCAGCAAATTTTTCTGGATATTTACGCAATTTTGAGACCAATTTTACGTTTTCAACATTCAAAAGGTTCCACTAATTTCAAAGCACATGGTTTCATACAATAACAATGTTGGTTTACAGTAGCACATCCAGAATTATCAAAAGATGGAGAGGATGAAAAACCACCATACAAACTATGCCAAAAAGATAACCCCTGTGGTAAAAAGAAGGGAAAAATTTACTAAAAACATAGTTTTCCACACCGTTGGTTTTTGTCATTTCTACTTTGTACAAGTTATGAAAATCTTTACTATCCTTCGCCTAGAAAAGATTGAAAAAATCATTCAGATTTTACTGTAGCAGTAATTTTACCAGACATCCTCAGAATTTGGACTGGTTCTGCATCTTGTAAAATCAATATGGATTTTTTTCAAGGAAAATTACTGTCACAAAATTAACCAAATTTCGATATCCTTTTCAGTTCAAATCTTAAAATGTAAAAATTTAAAGCAGTTCGATTTTCCGTCATGTTGAATTTTCTAGTTATTTCAAGGTTACATATGAACATAAGAGAATTATCTTGGGTTTTTTGTTGTTTTTTTTTGTTGTTGCTTTTTTAAAATTTCTATTTTTAAAAAAAATTGGAGAGAGAAAAAAACAAGTATACGTGTAACTAAAGGACCAATGCTACGCAATATTTTCATTTCAAACATAGATATGAATATTCAGATTGCATCTATAACCATTTATGATTAATTTGATACTGTATTAGATAATTTGAATTTGATGAATAGCTAGGTTTATTTAGAAGTTTTTAAACAATAGGTAATTGCTGACTACAGAGTGATAAATTGAACGGCAATCGTTGTTTAAGATGTTGCTGTTTATGGCATTACAATTTAATGCGCAACATTGAAAATGTCATCTCGTTCCAAGATGCCGATACAACAGTGCACCTCACTTGTTTGTAATCGTTTTTAAATCTGTAAAGTGTTGTTTTAATTTTTTACATCACTGGGTCGATACCGCTGCTGGTGGACCTCCAGTCCCGGATGGTATCATTGGCTCAGTAGTCAGTACTTCGGTACTTCGGTACTGACATGACGTATGATGTTTGAGCGTTCCTAATGAAGGTTAATCCAGAAAAAAACGCTTCTGACGCAGTGTTGTTTTCATATTTTATACGTATTTAATCCCGATGCTATCGATAAATTAGAGGCAACAGTAGTTTACCGATGTTCAAATCTCATAAATTCGTTAAAAAGATACGAATCAAGGTAAAAAAAATCATAAACTGAGGAAATCTCATGAATTTCAAAAGGAGCTTAATTTGACATTTATTTGTAACTTCCTTATACAGATTTTTCGAAATCGTAGTTGAAGTTATTTCAACAAATGTTTATATGCACTATATTTTTCAATATTTATAATATACGGAGTTGTCATAAGATGGATCAAATGATCAGACATAAAGGTTGTTCGAGAACCAGACAACCAAACTTAACGACAAAAAGTTCTTATTGTAATTTTCCTGTTTCGAACTTAACATTTCTTTATAGTAACATTCCAGCAGCACAATCATATGAGGTTTATATCTCCCAGTTGATACGATATTCCAGGGCTTACGCTTCCTATCATGATTTCCTTGACATTGGGTTACAGGTGACAAGGAAGATATTAAACCAAGGGTTGTTAATGGTGAATTTGAAGTTTTACGGCCGCCGTTATGATATGGTAGGACCTTATTAGATGTTTGTGTCGCATATGAACACTGATATGTTCCATATATTCGTAGCCATCCTATTATCTTCAATTGTGGCATCACCGAAAGTGATCAGTCGGACTTGAATTTTGCTTTCAATGAGTAATACGTGAAGTGCCATCATTGAAGCAAAATTGATAGTATTTCCAAAGCAGCTGAGTACACTCTATTTTTACGGAATACATGTAACGTTTCTTGTGTTATATTTTGGATATCTTATATTTCAGTGGCTTTTCTGTTTTCGTATGTTTTAGGGGTCTTGTCAATTCTTTGTCTTGTTAGATATTTTCATTTCAAATCTTCATATTCAGTCAAGAATAAGGCTAGCAAATTTTCAATAGTCGATGGTTTGTAAATTTAGTATTGTCTGAAGGTCAGACATCAGAAATTTACCGACCCGGGTTATCAACGGTTATCAATCGTCAAGTTTTTAGAAAAGTAATAAGACGTGTGTCACTAGCAGAGCAGCAACGGGTGACCGGCTTCCGACGTACCTGTGTTCTTTCCGTTTTGGCGGGATTCTAGTTGCTCAATCTTTTGTTTTTCTGTATAGTGTTTTGGGGATTGTCTGTTCGGGTTTTTTTTTTTTTTTACCTTGATGATGTCCGTTTTTCTATATATTGTTTATGGGATTGTCTGTTCGGGTTTTTTTTTGTTGACCTTGATGATGTCTGTTTTTCTGTATAGTGTTTTGGGGATTGTCTGTATCTTATAAATAGAGAAAATATGAAAGGAGCAAAAATGTTCAGAATAATGAGCTCTACCAATTGCCTATATATACGTCAAAACTGTTAGACAAATTCTTATAGGAGTTATTGCCCATAAATTTTTTTTTCATTTTTGCATATTATCATGAAAACTATGATATTTAGAGAGAAACATTTTTTTTTTCGTTATGCGGTATACGATTTAAATTATAATAGATAAATAGACACTTTAAATCACAAAAATGATCAGCAAGGCAAGATTTATTAAAAAGACAAATTTTGCCGATATAGTTAGTAGACTGTCACTCTTCATAGGAGTGATTGCCCTAAATGAGGATTTTTTTAACCCTCTTTTGTGTTTTGAGCAAAAACTAAAGAGCCTCCTCATGGGGTTTTTGATTATGTGATTATTTTGCCGTTTTTATATTGATTATTTGATTACCAGACCAAATATTTCATGATTATTTGATTATTTAATAATCTAGGACTGTATTTTTGATTATTTGATTATCTTGTTTAAAAAAATAATTAATGATTATGTAATTATATTGGCAAAACATTTTTGATTTAGTGATTACTTGGACACACCCATGAGGGGCCTCACTAAAGAAGATAGAGAGAAACTAAACAGACTAAAAGATCAGTATTACAAGATCAACAAAAATATACTAATCAACGGGGTTTTGCGGTAGAAAATGTATGTATACAACAGGATAATGTGGTCAGTCAGAATGACATAGTTTTTTAAATTATAATTATAAAAAAGAAGATGTGGTATGATTGCCAATGAGACAACTCTCCACAAGAGACCAAATGACACAGAAACTAACAACTAGTTATAGGTTTACACTGTTTATTTTGAAGCATTCTTTCTGTTAAAAAGTTCTTCATTTTCATACATTTGCATGGGCAACATGAACAATTTCGTTTTTCAGTGAAAGACATTTAAAAATATTCTGATATTCATCTCCTATATCTGATTTGTCGCAAAGTGTGCATTTTTCTCTCTGACCTGTTGATTTTGTGTCCTTAAATTACGAAGAGTTATAGCGTATTTTTCTGAAAGTATTTGTAAAGAATCTTCCAATACCAAATCCTACTTGTATAGTTAAAATTGAAAAGTTTGGAGTGAATTAAACACGATTTGACGATATTGGAGATATATATTCAAAATTATAAAAAATATAATATAAGAATGTTTAAAACAATACAATTTCTATATTACGGGAACATGAACATACGATGTTAATTTTTACTCGACACTTGAAATTTTAAGTTGTTTACCAAAACCTTTCCGAGAGTACTTAAAATATTGACGTCATACGTTTATTTTAACCCCTTAATGAACGAACCGAGTCAAATGTTAATGAACAAACGATTTCGTGGAATCTGCCTACCCTCATTACAAAAAATGACTGAAATCTTACACCAACAAAGTTTATTGGATAGTGCATGTCAGTCCCTGTATATGACCGAACAATCAAAGCGATGTAGTAAGATTGGGTCTTTCATTTTTTTTGTACTACGGCACATTCTAGATTATTCGGGATTATCCATAGATTATGGAGTACGGCTGGTCTTCGTTAAATATACTATTTAGATATTAACAGTATAAGTTTGCTTGTATATCTAGATTGCGACGCGCAGAATCAAAGAAACGTATCACTCTTTTACTATGAGAAATAGAATTTTAGAAATCTAAATGTTCAAATAGACTTTTAAAGACAATACTGTTCTAAAATTGTTGTTGGTGTCGGACATTAGCTGTTCGGTTTTGTTTTGTCAGTAACTTGTTCTTACACTGTTAATTTAATTTATTTTCTATTCTTATCGTTATGTGTTGAAACTTGATCTTCGCAAGATAAATAACTATGAACAAAGCTCTCAAATTCATTTCAATCTATTTAAAACTGTGTTAGCCACTAATTTTTCAGGCTCGAATTCTGGCGGGGTTTACCCGGCATTCGTCATGCCTGAAAATCGGGAAAATAACATTATTTCCATTTAAAATGTCGAACAATAGTTATTCTTAGAGGAACCTCAAATCAGGGATCCGTGCCTGTTTTTGTATTATATATATAAAACCGTTTTGATATATACAAAAGAGTAAAAGAGGCATGACCAATTTCTCTGTTTTTGTTTCACTCCCAGGTTCAGAATCAGAAAGTTGCTGAAACCTATTTGATTACGAATATCAAAGAGTCTTTTTTTATATACTTAATAAATATTTCAACAATTTTAGATGTTCCCATAAATTCCAAATTTTGTTCAGCGTTATATATGGCTGTTGAAAACAATATTGCAAATTTTACATGTTTTTGTAAAATTTTACATCGAAAGAAATCTTCCAAAAACATATATCAATTTAAACCTGAAAGGCAATATATAAATTCAGCTTTATTAGAATTTCGGTTATGGGTTTTCCGGTCTTTTTTTTTTATATAATTACCGATATTTTGCCAAAATCTGCAGTTTTGATCCATCTCAAGATATCTAAAATTCAGAATAACGTCAAAATGTTGTTATAATTGCGTAAAGTACACAATATAACCTTATGCCATTGTGTAAAATACATTCAGAGGAAATTGGTCCTACCTCTTATTTTCTATAAGCTGCACATGTTCACGAGGAAGTGTCGTTCTTATAATCTTAATGTTGCGTATTATATTTTATTGACTAATCCATGCTTCCTTTATTACGGAATAATTCGTAACTAAGTAGGATTATGAAATAAAATTAACATTTACAAAGTAAAATGCAGTCATGATCTTACTTGCTACATTTTTTACTCGTAAATTAAAACGCGATTTCATGTGCATTTCTGGATTTACCTTCATAAGGATTGCTCAGAGCTAAAGATAATCATTAAAGTTGGAGCAGCAAAAACGAAAGGGTCAAAATGATAAATGAACATTTCCCCGGTATACAATAGAAATACTGCATTGTTGAAATGAAAGTTATCATTCTTATAGTAGACACGGTGTGAATTACCCCCAACACTCCTAAAATAAGGAAAAAACCAAAAACACATAACTTGCATTTTAGTCTCAAATTAGTTTTCCGCAACAATTTTGTAATGCAAGACAGAGTCTATTTTAGGCGTATCTAATACACAGATTAGTTGTTAAACATGGAAAGTGATATTGCAGTTCAAACTAGCTTCCGTAGTCAGTGCTTCGGTACAGACATGATTTATAACATATATTAAATTCACCGTTGGTTGGTAAATTAAGAAATTATTTTTTAAACAAAGAATCAAACTCTGATCTTTGATTAATTTTGCTCTCCCTTTTATGATTTGGTCATATAGTTCCTTACGTTTTCATGTAAATTTCTTCATCAATGGCTTTCAAAATCCAGAAAATCGCTTCGGATGCATCAAATCTATAAAGTGTTATTTTTAATCAAACTAGTGTTTACAAAGCTCTCGAGCTTCGTAATTAATTTGACCTTCAAACTGTTTTGACTCGAGGGCCATTGGCGAGTCTTGTGTAGACTAAACGCTCGCATGGCTAACTAGATTTATACTAAACCTGAGATCTTTGAAGTTTTGTTTTAACTGATGAAAAAACAAATTATATACATATATCTATTTTTTTCGTCCTGAATTTCATCTGTTCCCTTTGAAAGGTAAAATAAAAGAAATGTGGCATGTCTTTCTTTAGTTTTAACTTTATAATTCGACAAGCTGCATGTGAAAGCGCGTGATTGTATTAGATATTGCTTTAAGATTGTAAAGGAGAGACATATAAAAAAGAATTGCGTTATGTTAGATGCAATGCTGGATTAATTATATCAGTAATGGAGTTTTTCACACTGTGTAGTTTTTGAGAGTGAACGAGAGAAACATATACTTTATGCTATGGTTTAAATACGGTTTGTTGAGAATTTAACTCCCAACAGGAAATCTGAAAATTTTAAGTTTACTGTAGGCATCGTTTACTCCCCATTTTTTAAGTAGACATTGTCCTTTGTTACATCCTGACTTTCTATCAGTTTCCTAGTGTTTTTAATACCATCACATTTTCACTCTTAAGAAAATGTACTCTTGAATTTCTTTGGATTCTTGATTGATCTTATTTTTTTCTTAAATACTAATCATTTTTCATGAAAGTACTTAAAATATAAAGATTTTCAATTGTTTATAAGACTTAAACAATAATGTATGTCTCTTTCAAACAAACTATGACCCTTAATAGATGACGTTAACAATGATCCATAGCAGTTTCAAGTTAGGAATAAATGATTTGTGAACAAAATCATGAATATACAGTGTTTGTTGACATAGTCTGACATAGTTTAATAACAATAGAAACAAAAACAGAAACATAAATAGAAACGGAAAGCATAATAAAAGAAGAGGGGATATGGTATGATTGTGTGAGGCGACAATCTCCTTAGAACACTAGCAAATAATCATATATCAAAGGAACAAAACCTTTTTGGTTGTTGATCATCTTGACATTTTCTTAAAGCTGTTTTTTTTTTCAAACGGAATGGTGAAGTGTTCTACGGAAAAATCAAGATGGTCCTTACTTCTATTTGAGCGGTACGGCAACGGATTGCTTTGGTATTCAGCAGATTTCAGCAGATTTTATTCGATATTTCATTATACGTGCGTTAAAAGATGAACTATAACAGTAATCCATGCACTTTTTGAAAAGTAGTATATATTGATCGTTATTTTAAGAACATAGGCTTGCATGGCTTTAATATATACTAATTTGTTCTTTTTTTCCTCTAAATTTAATTTTATTCGAGTATTAACTGACAGATAAGATCCTTGGACAATTTTCTTTTAAGAAATTACCACAGAATTCAAATGTTAAGTTTTGAATGTAAATATAAAAAAAACTTACTTGTACATATAAATAATTAGTATCCTTTACTTGTCAATGTGTCTCCAAATTCACTTTATAAACCAAGTACGGAAGCCAACCTGATTGGTCACATGATGCTTAAGCCAATCCGTATTTCCTCGATATTAAGGTATTTAATTAAACTGTCTCATCATCCAATGCGATTTGATAACGCCAGAAAATTAATTCAAGTCAATAAAAATTAACAAATCAGTGTACTCTGCACTTATTACATTACGAAAATGCAAAACACAGCTGTTAAAAATTAGTTTTTTTTATAAATATTCTATGCAAAGATAAAATGAAATGTCAAATTTTGATTTAAAATTTTAACTTAGTAAATATGTGTTTACACATGCCTGTATATTTCAAAAAGATTTTGATAATTTATTTTTTTTTCTTGGATGGAACTTGTCTGGGATATATAAAACAGTGGCGACAGTAGTTTAGCGATATTCAAAATCGTCATTTATTTATTTCTCCAGGTTGCATAAACTACAGGTTATAAACGTGCAAAAATAAGCACTTGTTAAACTATATAATAATTACTTCGGATTTAAATGTTAGATGTTTTTTTAATATCCAAAATGAAAGCCATATACATTGAATGTCTGTAAAAGGGTTGAAAACTTGCGAGTTGCCAACATAGGTAAGTGTGTTATTTTACAAAAAATAAAAATACCCCAATACAAAATTCGACAAATCACATACGATTTTGTATTTGAAAATTCAAAAGGTAGGGTGTTTTTTTTAATATTTCAAAGCAATTTTTGCATTTTTATGGGAGGAAAAACATCGACTTTAATAATTGTTTTTAATTTTTGTTATTGATAGTCACCTGATCGACATGGTGAGTTTCATATACCTGAACTCTCAATACCATGCATCAATAGTTTATTGTTTTGTTTTTCTCACGAAAAAACGCTTTCGTGGTCTTTAACGTTTCGATTAGTGGTTCGAACATTTTGCGATGTGAATGAAATGATTTGATTATATTGAAATTCATTATAAAATGTGAGCATAAATTCATATAGAAGAAATGTCCCACATCATTCTCATAATTTTTTTGTGAAATTATTTTGCATTTGTTGGCCAAATTTTTGTTGATATTTGTTTAGTAATGCGACAGTATATTACCGATGTTCATTCAAATCCTGTAAATCGATTTACAAAAGACAAATCAAGGTAAAAAAAAAACTGAGGCTCTCATAAAATTGCATGAATCCAAGAAGGAACAAGACCGACGGGCTAATCGCCTCCTGCTTTGTTTGCATCACCCACAATGCGCTCACACTCAGTCAAAATGTCACAATCGGGGATAGGACACAACCAGTAAAGTTACAGACCAGCCGACTATACTGGTATTTATAGATCTAAGACTTATAAAACATGTCGCTAGTGATTTCAGACACCGAGACATTGTATCGGTCAACCAATTCGTGATGGTGACCGTACAACTCATAGTGTCGATTGTTGTAGCAGTTTTTAGTTAAGGAGCACACCCCTGTAAATGAAGTCCGTATAGTGTGAACATGCACGAGCGTAACGTATTACCTGAAATATATAAACGCCACACGATGGAGCAGAGGGTATGTTACTGCTGATAAATGGCGAGTTGATAATTATATGACGGGGAAAGGAGAAATATAAACAAAAAATAATGCATTCGGGTTGAATATTATTTCTTCCTTATCTGCCTGATAATCTTTAGTTAAATAGAACCAAAGTTCAGTGTGCCTAACTTTAACAAGGAAATTTATTTTTATAAACATGCATCTAACTGCTGTAATATTGCCATATATATTTCGTCGCGTTTCTTCCTTAAGTAAGATGCATTGATCTGAAAGATAAAGAACTATAAACTATTATTGTTAACAGAACGGATATCTTATTAATTGTTTTCCCGTTATTTTTACAACAACATCCTTTTATAGTAGATCACCAAATCTGATAAACTTTTAAGTATCGATCTTATTTATAGTTTGAAATTTATGAACCTTTAGGTCGTTTTATAAGTCAGATACATAATTTGAAGCACTTTTCTTCAGGTGAACTGATTGTCAATTGATAGATTCACACAATAGAAACAATGAAGTCCAAAGTTGCAAGGTCAAATTGAAAAACATAGGCTGTAATGCAGAATAAACTAATGGTCATACCTAGTGGCAAAACAAAAATTAGTTGATCTTTTAGATTACTTTTTTTATTATTTTTGGCAAACTGGTTTCACTCATTCATGAATGACCACTAAATGAAAATCAACTTTATCCCGAAATACTGCATAAATGATTAATTCTATATCCATTGATTAAAGTTCATTATTTGACCAAAATCACTAATAATGTATAACTTTTTTTGTTAGGAACTTATAATTATGAGTCATAGATATGTTTCCTAAGATTCCCTAATTTTGATTTGCAGACAACAATCGCGAGGCATTCCACTATTATGCTTTATTTCCAAATGAAATGCAACATATATGATTGAACGTGCTCTCCATTACATCATTATAACAATGCAAAGGAAAACAAAAGTTTAATTCTATTATACTAACTCTTTATCATTTCATGGTTCTAGCTTAAAAGTATAATTGAAAGAATCAAAGATTTTTTTTTATAATTTTATAATGTTATAAAAGCGTTGATCGTATGCATATTATAAGTTTGAAGCGCTTCCGCCTGCACAGTGTGATTCGTTTTACGCTTTTACAACATTGTTAAAGTACGAAAAGAAGCATTCGATTCTAAAGTATTCCATGTTGTTTTTCTTTTCTTTTATCCTATTTTTTTCTTAATTGAATACATATTATTTTAATGTATACATGATTTTAAATTTGGGAAACATATAAGTGGATCTAAAAGTACGTAGTTCTATTCTTTAAATCAATCTCATGAATCTAAAATGTACTTAAAAGAAAATTAGTGTAACGTGAAAACCACTACTTTTTTCTAAATTCATCCATGCGTTTTCTTGTGAAATTATTTGATTTGATGGAATTACATTAAACCACAGTGCTCATCAATCTGTCTCAACTTCTTAAGTGGACGTTTCATTTCACTTCCTATTGTTATACATCAAGCACCCGAAGAGAAAGCCCATCTTTTAATATTTGATTTTAATTATTATCTTTTCATTGTATTATGACGGTTTTAACTCCGGACACATAAATTTTGCCCTTATTCAAAGACAGCTATGAATTTAATCATAGAAGTGTGGCAAAACCCCATGCTCGTAGCTCGACTTAACATCCTATAAAAATTCTTTAAAAATCACAGTTTTCATTTTAACGGTTTGGAAACGGGCACGTGTCATGCACGGTAATTAATTTCAAATAACAACAATAATTCGTTTAACATTTAATTACAAATGGATTTATGCGATGCAAAAGTTAATAAGTCACCCAATGTTGCTTATCTCTAAATATTTGTTGTTGCACTCCAGCAGAGGATATGAGAAATTTGCACATTTAGTCATTGGTTGATATTTGTGTTGAAAAAAATTATATTGATGCCACGTGAAGAACAGAAGTTTTCTGTAAGATTAGACAGAAAACAAATCAAACTGCATTTGGATACAAATAGAAGACGTTCGATATGAATGAACTCTTGAACGAAATGAAAAAAAGAAAACACAATACTTTTACTATAGCTGATTGATAGCTTGGGGTTACATCTTTAAATGCATACTGTTTCTATAAACGGTAGAAAAGGTTTTTCATCAATATGTCACTTGAAATGCTCCGAATGTGGGGGTTACGGTCCGTTCCACCATGAATAATACGATATCATTAAATAATTCAATAAACTGAAGACATCTTCTGATGTATAAGACCCTAACAAGTTTTCGCCAGTTCCCTGATCCGATATTAGATGTCCCTCGGTCCAATTTTCTTTGATTTTCTAAAACATTTTGCTATTCTGATTTCATAAAATGTCTCATCATTTATTAATGTCTAAAGAAAAAAAAGAAAGTAATAAATTTGATTTTAACACAATTAAGTATGTATTCAACTTATCAAAGTAACGATTCAAACAAGTATTCTCGTGAATACGTGCATGATAATCAGTACAATGAAAAACTGCATGGGCAAATAATTTTGTTGATGATTTTTAGTTTCCGAAATGAAAAACAAATTTGTGCACCGATACGATGTTTAACAAAGTTTTAAAATAACTCAACCAGTATTATGTATAGATTGTTTTGCATTTATCTAGTTTCTATTTGAATTACAAGTATATCAAACCTGAAATATTTTGAAACTATAATGATGGTCATCCGTGGTTCAATCGTCCTTGACTATCAAATTCTAGCTCATTGTCAGTATGCCAGGAAGACTGAATTTTGGTAGTTTAATTGTTCCCAGTCTCAGAAATGAAATAAATGCGATCTTTTAAGACATCAAAACCTGATTTAATCATATGCACTAGGGGACAGGACAAATTTTTTTTTATTTCTCTTAATTTCAATCACTTTTGCGTTTTTCTGTGTTAATTTATAATATATATAATCAGCAACCGCTGTGGATGGTAAACTAGGATTTGATAGTATATAGCAAATACATGTTATTTATAGTATATCTATGTTAATATAACACAGAAAAACGCAAAAATAATTGAAATCAAAAGAAATATAAAAAAATAAATAAAAAAGGGGGAGGGCTAACAAAAATTGTCTTGTCTCCAAGTGCCTATGAATTTAATGAGCAGCTCGTCGAAAGAATATTTTCTTTTAATTATTTATAAGCAGTTTCGCCTTTTAAACAATTACATGCAGGAAAAAATCAGTTTTGCCGGAATGTGTTGAAAATTAGATCCTCGACACCAAATTGTATGACATATGGAGAACTTGGTCGTACACCAATAGATATCGTAATAAAATGTAGAATGGTGTGTTTTTGGAACAAACTTCTCGCCAATGAAAATAAACTAAGCAGTATACTTTATCAAATTATGTTCAACTTAAAAGACGATCACATGTTCAAATGGATTGACTATATTAAATCGCCGGGTTTTAGACAATTCCGGACTTAGCTATGTTTGGACTCAGCAATTACCATTAGATGTAAAACAACTAAAAATCGTTCTGAAAGAAAAACTTAAAGATGCATTCATTCAAAATTGGCATAGTCAAATTGACAACTCATCCAGAGGAGAATTTTATGGTCTTTTTAAAACAATGTTTGGCTTAGAAAACTATCTTGTACAATTATCACCAATCGAACGTGAATATATTTCAAAATTAAGATGTGTAATGTAAAAATTCCAGTAGAGCTGGGTAGATGGTACAATATTCTAAAAGACGATAGGACATGTAATTTGTGTTTAAATGCTATTGGTAATGAATACCATTATTTATTTGAATGCAATTCTGTATTAGTAAAAAGTATCAGAAATCAGCATATTCCAGAATACTATGTTAAATATCCCAGTGCAGCAAAAATGAAAGGACTACTATCATTGGTTAATATTAATGTACTTAAGAATGTATCTTTATTCGTTTCAAAGTTAACGAAAATATTATAAAGTAAAGTAATTATTAATATATTTCATTTCTAAGTTGGTCTATTTATTTCTATGATTGTATGTGATTGTATTTTGTATATATTTACCTCTAAAAGTCTTGTTTCACATGTCAATGTGACGGAGTGTTTTTAAATAAAACATATTGTATTGAAAAAAAGGCCCCTGAATGGATATGTCAGATATTTGTTTAGATATTCTTTTCTGGAACACAGGAAGTTACTGTACAATTCGAGTTGAATGAAAAACTACACAAAAAACATAACCCATTCTTGAGCAAAGAAGCAAAACAAATAAAACAAATGCAGAAAAGGTGTGTAGTTGTCGATGATACAGCTACCAACCACAAACCAGAAAACATGACTCAAGAGCCAAATGAAAAGTCGTACCCTTATAGTAGGAAGTAAGAGTGTGTGTTTTTTTTTAACAGAGAATGAATTTCCACTTACTTAAACACAGGCACTTGTCTCTGAAATAAAATAGATAAAAAACAGAGAAAGGTGCCTGTGATGAAAATAGGATTCTCATTAAAAATATGAGGCGAAACATCCTAATTCAGAAAGGATTGATTGATTGGTGTTTAACGCCATTTTCGACACTACTGTGCTAATGATGCAATAGTTCGACTACTTAGACCACTTGGCCACCGATACTACAATTCAGAAAGGAAAATTAACTTCAAGAAAGGAAGAATTTGTTGGTGCAGACCAATAAGATATAACAATGGATGGAGTCTTAGTCTACTATTTCTATATTGTGCAATAGTAGTCCCAGATGGAGTCCGAGACTACTATTACTATTACTATATTGTGTAATAGAAGTCCTAGATGGATTTAAGAACATAGAAATCTTCAACTGTAAAATTGTTAAAGGCAGAGGAATTTTTAAGGTATAATATAGAGTCTCTGTCAAAGCATTTGTACTCGTGTTTTCCTCATTTTTCCTGAATAAACAGGCGCTCATCAGTTTTGTAGTGTCAGTTTTCAAAGGACAATGTTGCAGGGTAGTGTAGTATCAAATATAATTGATACTTGTGGGATTTACAGAAATCTTTTCACTTAAGTTTAGAACTATGAAATTTGAGTTTGTAAATTGACAGATATAAATTTTCGGAAGTTTACATAAGATTTTAAATTTAAGTGGAAATTGGTTGAGATGTAGGAGAGCTATAATTAATAGTTAAATGATCGGTAATTTTTACTTGCTTCTATATTTAATTGATTGCCAAATGCTATGCAAATAAGTTAATTTGACATCAATTATGTAGTAATTCAAATACTTATCTTCTAAGTGGGTGATCATGGCGTTAGGTTCATTAGCATGATACAAATTTTCAATGCTAACACTTTTTTTTCTTTTCGTGCTTTTCGTATGGGAAAACAGTACACAACACCAATACGTCTTGGTATTTACGATTGGAAAGCGGCATACCATCATAATCTTAAGCTTTTCACTTCTTTTGTATCAATTTTTCCTAAAAGAAAATAATTCAGTATTCTACGATTATTTGAAATCAAGTTCTGCTGTAACTATTTGCATATTGACTTTATTTAAACCCCCATCTTTTATCACTAATAAAAACAAGGCCTGACAAACATTATTTTACTAAATATACGTCAATCCTTGACTAGAGCATGTCTTGATTATAGACATTTAAAACAGAGAACAATGAATGACTCTTCGTAATTACTTATGGTCGAGGCCATTGTCAGATATCCTCGATGAATACATGTTTAAAATCTTATCTTATATATTTTCGACTTATGAGTTTGAACGTCCTTTTAGTATCTTTCGCCTCTCTTTTATCTTAGTTTGCTTAGGTAATGCAACCTATGACGTTTTATCACCGCCTATACCGACATAGTCAACTTAATCTCAAAAACAAATGAGGTTGATGTGATATTCCGGAATACTGATTACGACATCGGTCCAGCTTTTATGTAAAAAACGCATTGGTGACGAAGAATCCAAAATGGCAGACAATTTGGAAAACAAAAATTCTGATTCAGGTAAACAAAAAATGCAGTACAATAAATTACTACATAGTTTTAAAAAAAAGAAAAAAACAATCGGTCGAATCGAAAACAAATAAGTTCCATTTAAATTTTTAGCCATTGGCTAATGGCTTTCCATCCAGATTAATGTACTGTGCTATCTGTCACCAAAAAGAAGCAACCTAAATAATATATACAGCACAGCTAGATTTTAAATGGTCATACACTTGAATCAGTAACATCAGCTAAGTACCTTGGTATCACAATACAGTCAAACCTCAAATGGGACAAACATATAAATGACATTACATCCAAAGGTAACAAATCACTGGGTTTTCTAAAACGAAATCTAAAAACAACAAACCCACACATAAAATCCCAGGCATACCAAGCCATCGTCCGACCCAAACTTGAATATTCTTGTTCTGTTTGGAACCCTCACACAACCCAATCGATATCCAAAATTGAGATGGTCCAACGACCAGCTGCTCAGAATGTCTGCAATAAATACCATAATATGAGTAGTGTTACAAACATGTTCACAACATTGAACTTACCATCACTAGCAGAATGTAGGCTACGCACAAGATTGGTAATGATGTATAAGATATCATACCATCTTGTTGCTATTCCTTCAGTCATACTCATTAAAAAAGAGGGATGAAAGATACCAGAGGGACAGTCAAACTCATAGATCGAAAACAAACTGACAACGCCATGGCCAAAAATAAAAAGACAAACAGACAAATAATAGTACAGATGACACAACATAGAAAACTAAAGACTAAGCAACACAAACCCCACCAAAAACTGGGGGTGATCTCAGGTGCTCCGGAAGGGTAAGCAGATCCTGCTCCACATGTGGCACCCGTCGTGTTGCTTATGTTATTACAAATCCGGTAAATAGTCTAATTCGGTAAGTCACATTCGTGAAAAGGGAAGGGTATTGTAGTTACGACATAAGGAACATATCCAATATCATCTGTGAAACGGTTATTCCATAACGGTCAACCAACTCGTGATGGCGTCCGTAAAATTTACGAAGGGATGATTTCAACTTCACCATTTGGAACTCTTGGCTTAATAGCTTCCTTGTGAGCAGCAATCCTCTATCAAGGAAATCATGATAGGAAACACAAGCCCGGGAATATCGTATCAATTGGGAGATATATACTCCGTATGCAGGCGATGCTGGAATGTTGCTACATAGAAATGGAAAGTTCACAATTGGGAAGCTGAAATCATCTCTTTTGTCGTAAAGTTTTGTTTTCAACTGACCCTCATTGTCAATTTCTAAATGTAAGTCAAGATATGAGGCAGACTTAACTGTATCTGTAGTATCCTTTATCTCTAGTTCGATGGGATAGATTCGTTCAACATAGTCACCAAATTTTGTATTATTTAGTGAGAGAACATCATCTATATAGCGGAACGTAAAGTTAAAGGATATTGCTAACTTCTTATCTTGCTTCCTAAGAAGTTCCTGTATGAAGTCAGCCTCATAATAATAAAGAAACAAGTCGGCAAGAAGAGGGGCACAATTGGTTCCCATTGGAATTCCGACAGTCTGTTGAAAAACACGTCCTCCAAACGTAACAAATATGTTGTCAATCAAGAAATCAAGCATCTTGATAATGTCAGTTTCAGAGAATTTTTTGTTTGAGTCAGAGTGAATCTTTACAAAGTAGGATTTATCCCTCCCCAAGACAAGATACTTGTATCTACGTTCGCCATTCTTTTTAATGAAACAAAGTAATACCAACTCTTTCAATTTGTCTTTTAGTTTGGAATGGGGAATACTTGTGTAAAGTGTAGAAAAGTCAAATGTTTTAATACTTTAAAAGAACTAGAAAAAAACATTCACTCTCATAAAGGCACATACATACATCTAAGGACTCCTACAGACATTCATACTTTCTGTATACAATACCACAGTGGAACCAGCTCCCTCTGGTTCACTTCAGCTGTTCTCTTCTATTAATTAATAGCATTAATTAAGATTGTACATAGTTTTAATAACAAATTTGATTTTTTCATTGGACTATAATTACATTTTGTTTAAATTGGGGTAAAAAAGTTTGTAAATAGTCCACGTATGCGAACAATATGTAATCATCGGATGTCGATGGAATATTGTATACCAAAAGAAGAAGGAACACTCTTCAGTAATTACTGTGACTTAAAAACAGACAAAAAACTAATCATTGTTGACTTTCAGAAAAGTTCCACACAGGTCAGTTGTCTCAAAAATACAAATTAAATGAATTTAAATTAATTATTACTGTATACAAACAAAAATAAGCTGGATATTATCCGAAAAAAAAAACAAGTTGTAATATGATGCAGGTGAAACCTGTGAAAGGGACGAAGTCAGCAAACCTTTAAAATAATTTGCGATATCCCGTTAACAGCTGATTTACATTTATATTCATCAACATTTATTGTAAACAAATTCCAAGCATAATTTCTGGTGAAAAAGTAATTGAATTAAGAAAATGTATCCGATGTTGGTCCTATTGTTAGGAATTTTATATATGACTTCATTTTCAATATAAACAAAGAAAACGCTATTTTCAGAGCTAAATTTTGAAAAATATTAATTTCATTTTTTCCGTATCTTACTGATAAATGGACTTATCAGTAGTTTTTTACAATTAACATTCAGGCTCAGTCCGAGGTTAAAGTTTTTCAGTCATCAATAACTTTGTCAAACTTTCATGGAATTTTATGAAATTTGGACAGAAGCTTGTAATTAATGACCAAAATACAGTATTCAGAGCAAAATTTTGAAAATATTTATTTTCAGTTTTCCGTATTTTACTGATAAATGGACTTAGTTTTTTTTTTGCAGTTAACAAATAGATGCAGTCTGAGGTTAAAGTTTGTTACACATCAGTTACTTTGTCAAACCTTCATACAATTTTATGAAACTTTGGCAGAAGCTTTTTTATGATTAAGAGATAATGTCTGAACTCTGAAGCACACTTTTGAAAATATGTTTTTTTAATATTTTCAGTATTTTACTGATAGATGGACTTTGTTTTTGACCGTTAACATTTACAGACAGTCTGGGATTGAGTTTTTTTGACATGATAAATCTGTAAACCTTCATGGATTGTTATGAAACTTGGATAGATGCTAATCTTCAAGACCAAGAAATAGCATAAAAAAAGTTTGATTTTCTTTTAAATTCTGTATTTTACTGATAAATGGACTCACTTTTTAGGTCAACATTAGTAATGATTAAAGCAACCTTTTGAATTATAGAAATCTATGATCTAGGGACTTTTAATTTATTAGGCCACACCAATTTGATTAATAGTTCTTTGGATTTTCCCACTCCTGATTTGGAGAAATTGACTTTTCAATAAAAAAAAAATTACCACTTCCCGTTCCGCAAATTTTTGGTCCGCATGCCGCTCCAAAATTAGTTTCTCCTTGAAATTTTTTTTTCACATAGACGCTTTTCTGTTGCATATAATGCATGTGTGATAAATCGATTTGTTAATAAAAGGTAAAAAAACAACATGCAGTTGTGTCAGCTCATTGCCGTGGACAAGTAGTTATTGAACACACAGTTATCTGAAATGCTACTCGTTTTACCTTTAAAGACCTGATGCAAAAATTAAAAATCTTTCGTTAGATGACCACAAACACATCAATATTTGTTAGAACCATCGTCACCCCCCATCCTGGTTTCAAAAGGCATAGACCTATATATTTTTTGGATGAAATGAATTGCAAATTCCCATGAACTTTTTGAAAAATCACAGAAGTATTTGATGTTGATGAAACCCCGTATTCCATTGTTAGTCTTTTGACATGCAAACAGAACTCTTCTTTTGTTGGGGGGAATTAAAGTCTAATAAAGAGTTCCAAAGAGAACAAGGTGATTCCGTATAATTTGTGATTGGCATGCTCATAATAATAAGGGGTGTCAAGCGAAAGAGTTTTAAATGCATTACAGCTTTTAGGAGCAAAAGGAAAGAGTATTTTGCTCAGTAAGAAAAATGCATGACAATGGGGTGACAGGTATTATAAGGGAATATTTTAATACATTTGGATCTACATGTATAGCAATATAACTATCGTACTCAGGATGTTGTTTTAGTACAAAGCAAGAAATATTCACCTCACTCATTATTTTGATCCTAAATATGAATAAATAGTTCCAACTGGATGTCAAGCAGCCAATAAATAAAGGCAACAGTAGTATACCGCTGTTGTGTTCAATAGTCAAAATTCGATTAAGCAAAAACAAATCCGAGGAACAAACTAAAACTGAGGGAAACACATCAACTATAAGAGAAAAACAACAAAGAACACTGAACTACAATAATAAACAATCATTACCATATAATGAAAACTATCAAATATCTTTCAGGGGCATTTTTTTGGATACATACACATATTTTAATTTTATTCAACATGTGTCATTTACCTAACTCACATACTTCCTCTTGTAAAACTGCATCTGCTATGCTTCCTAAATATATATATGGATTTAAATGAAAATTCACATAGACAAAGCTTACTTGAAGAAAATAACCAAAATTGACTAAACCACAGTGAGATAAGAAAGTCTGATATGGTACAGGCACCAATTATTCAAATTATATGCATAAGAGCATCTGTTGCTCCTCCTTTTCTATGAAATAACCCAGTTATAACATGTTCATAAATTGTACAACTTCTAAATCACAGTTTAAAAAAAAAATTATACCGCTGGCTTCACTTGTAAAGCACTCGCCTAAAAAAAACTCATTTTCAAGAAATATATAAAAACTAAAAAATTTTGCTCGCTCGTCCCATATTTTTTGGAGCTTTTGTCCATGAACTATTAATCAAATTGGTGTGGCCTTATAGAGCCTTTTTCGTTGCCTGGAACATATAGGCAGTCACAAGACATATGCATATATATAATGTATATACATGTATATAAGTAAATGTTTATTTTAAGAAGTAGGTTTTATTTGTTTCTAGGACCACAGAAGAAGCCAAGGTCCTTTGATATAACTGCCATGTTTGAAGAGGCTAGAAAAACAGCTATAGAGAGATCACAAGGTAAAATAAGAAATATAATAGTTTGTTCAATTGTGACATGGTTAACTCAAATTGTTCTGATTTGCTTTCAGTAGCTGCTAGCATTCTTTGATACAGTATTGTTTTTGTTTTGTTCTTGTATTTTTCTTTTTTTATAATCTTTTTTACCTTTATTATAGAGTTAAATGTTTTTTCCTGGACCAATTTTAGTATACATATTTTTAAGGCTAAATAATGCCATACCTGCACATTAGTCGAAACTCAGCTATTAAAGATTTCCGTATTTATGATTTGTTTGTAATATAGGACCTGTACATCCTTTAAAATTTAATGCAGTCTTCTGAAAATAGTTAAATCATAAATCCCTATGGGGAGATAACAGTTGGCATGTATTTCCTCCCTGACATAATAATTCTGCTCATTCTTAGGTTGGTGTCTTTAGTTGATCCTAGATCCAACTGAAAACTAAGGAATCTCTGTGCTTGTGGTGAGCATTCAACTATCAGGCTGGTTGGCTTTGTTTATGGTTATGAAGAATAGGTGAAACCAGTTTTAAGAGTACCTCTACCCCCTATTTATCTATTCAGAATATCTGTTTAATGTATCCACGCGAATGAACAAATAAATTTGTACTTGGATTTTAAAGACCATCATCATCTTTTCAAATGCATGTACATGTATCTTTATGTTTACAGGTAATATTGAACACCATGAAGACAAGGAATCGAAAAAAACTACAAAACCAGATGATTCCAGCAGTAGCTCAGGCAATGATTCAAGTGACTCATCTGATTCTGAATCAGACAAAACTTCTGGAAAAGCCAAAATAAAACCTAGTTCAAATGATGATGAAATGATTGGTCCACCACTACCACCTGGATTTGCACCTGTTGTAGATAAATTAAAACAGCAAATCCAGAAATATGATTCTGATGATGATGATTCTGAGGAAGAAGAGGAGGTCTGAGTTTACATGAAATAGTTTGGGGTTTCAATTTTCTATAATTCTAAAAGTTTCTACCTTCCATCCACAATTCTACATGGAAAGATAACTTTCCAAGCAAACTTATCTTTGATTTTTCCCTTTTCCAAGGGCAGATTTTCAATTGCCCTGGATTCTGCAGGTAAAAGGAAGTCTAAAGCATATTGTGTAACTATTAATTATTACCAATATCCTAATGAATTGGTTTTCTTTCTGTTAACTTTTACAAAAATCTTCTCCTCTGAAACTACAGGGCCAAATTTAACCAAACTTGACCAAAATCCTTATTGGGGTATCTCGTTTAATAATTGTGTCCAATGAACCAGCCTGTCAACCAACATGGCTAAAAATAGAACATACTTGTAAAATGTTTTGTCTATTATCTTGAAAATCCCTATGAATAGAGAAAATCTGACTAGGGCAGAAATGTTGAAAATGTTGATATCTACCTGCTATCCATTTGCGTCAAAACTGTCAGACAACTACTTATAGGATTTATAGCACTTAAATGTAAAATTTTGTCATTTTTTTGTAATTTTTATACTACCGCAAAAATTAAAAAATTTTTGGTCGTATATTGGTATGACGTTAGCGTCGTCGTCGTCGTTGTCGTCTCCGGCGTCGTCCGAAGACACATTGGTTTTTGCACTCTAACTTTAGTTTAAGTTAATGGATCTCCATGAAATTTTACCATAAGGTTCTATACCACGAAAGGAAGGTTGGGATTGATTTTGGGGGTTATGGTACCAACAGTTAAGGAATTAGGGGCCAAAAAGGGGCCAAAAATAAGCATTTTTGTAACTTCCAGACAATAACTTGTGTGTAGGTGTATGGATCTCTCTGACATTGTACCACAAGGTTCCATATCACAAAGGGAAGGCTGTAATTGATTTTGGGGGTAATTGCCTCAAAATGTTAGGAATTAGGGGCCAAAAAAGGGGCAAAAAACAAGCATTTTTCTAGTTTCATGACAATTACTTGTGTGTAAGTGTTTGGATATTTCTGAAATTGTACTACAAGGTTCCATATCACAATGGGAAAGCTGGAATTGAGTTTGGGGGTAATTGTCCGAAACGTTTAGGAATTGGGGGCCAAAAATGGGCCAAAAATAAGCATTTTTCTAGTTTCCAGACAATAACTTGTGTTCAAGTGTATGGATCTCTCTGAAATTGTACTGCAAGGTACCATACCACAAAGGGAAGGCTGGGATAGAGTTTGGGGGTGATGAATCATAAGGGGGTTCAAAAAATTTGGGGGGGGATTTTTTTTTCTTTCTTTTTTTTTCTTTTTTTCCTTTTTTTTTTCTTTTAAAATTTTCCATTTTAAGTTGGTTATTTCTGATTTATATTTAAAAGCAAATAATAATGATATGGTAGGAGATACACACCAAACAGGATGTGTAAATTATTATTTAATATGTATTGTGCAATAGCAAGAAATTTTCAATAGCACAGTATTGCACAATAGCAAGAAATCTTCAATTGCACAGTATTGCGCAATAGCAAGAAATCTTCAATGCACAGTATTGCGCAATAGCAAGAAATATCCAATAGCACAATATTGCGCAATAGCAAGAAATTGTCAATTGTACAGTATTGCGCAATAGCAAGAAATATTCAATTGCACAGTATTGTGCAAAAGAAGATACTTCGTATAAATTGCTTATTTCTTGATCAATTTCAATGGGGTTTTATTCTTGAATTCTTGGGGTTCTTTAATATGCTGAATCTAACTGTGTATTAAGTGTTTGGATTTTGGGCCCCGTTTTTTAAATTGGTCCACATTGAGGTCCAAAGGGTCCAAAATTTAACTTTGTTTGATTTCATCAAAAATTGAATTATTGGGGTTCTTTGATATGCCGAATCTAACCGTGTATTTAGATTCTTAATTTTTGGTTCCGTTTTCAAATTGGTCTACATTAAGGTCCAAAGGGTCCAAAATTAAACTTAGTTTGATTTTAACAAAAATTGAATTTTTAGGGTTCTTTGATATGCTGAATCTTAACATGTATTTAAATTTTTGATTATGGGCCCAGTTGTCAAGTTGGTCCAAATCGGGGTCCAAAATTAAACTTTGTTTGATTTCAACAAAAATTGAATATATGGGGTTCTTTGATATGCTGAATCTAACCATGTATTTAGATTTTTGATTTTTGGGCCCCGTTATCAACTTTGTCCACATTGAGGTCAAAAGGGTCCAAAATTAAACTTTGTTTGATTTCATCAAAAATTGAATTCTTGGGGTTCTTTGATATGCTGAATCTAACCATGTATTTAGATTTTGGATATTGGACCATAATAGGTGAATGTCCAATTTAAAATTTTTAAGTTCTTAGACCACATTCATTCTGTGTCAGAAACCTATGCTGTGTCAAATATTTATTCACAATCCAAATTCAGAGCTGTATCAAGCTTGAATGTTGTGTCCATACTTGCCCCAACTGTTCAGGGTTCGACCTCTGCGGTCGTATCAAGCTGCGCCCTGCGGAGCATTTTATTATCTTTTATTTTGAAAACTATAATAGATACAGAGTAATTTTTATTAGGAAAAATAATTAGCAAGACAACATCTACAAATAAATCAGCATTACTGAAATCATCAGACTACTCCTTATTGGAGTTATTGCTCTTTAATGACGATTTTTACTATTTTTTGCATTTTTGCCTTAAATCTTAAAAACTATAATAGATAGAAAGACACTTTATAAGTCAAAATGATCAACAAGTCAAGACCTATAAATAAGTTAACATGACCAAAATCGTCAGTTGATTCCTTATTGAAGTTATTGCCCTTTAATGACAATTTTCTCAATTTTTTCTCAATTTTTGCCTATTATTTTGGAAACTATAATACATAGATAGTAACTTTATATATAGCAAAACTGCCCAGCAAGACAAGATCTACAAATAAGCCATCATGACTGAAATCTTTAGTCAACTAGTTATTGGAGTTATTTCCCTTTAAAGATGTTTTTACTATTTTTGGGAGTTTTTGCCTATTATCTTGAAAAGTGTATTAGATACAAATGTTGATAGAGACTTTAAAAGCAAAAATGATCAGCAGGACAACATCTGCAAATATGTCAACATGACTGAAATTATCAGTTAACTCTTTATAGAGTTATTGCCCTTTCATGATGATTTTTACCAAAAAATGGCTGTTGTTGAAGATGCAGGTGAGCGACACAGGTAAAGAGCCTCTTGTTTTTTTACAGTTTCATTAACCATGACAAGTATATTGTATATTTTCAGACATTAGATCAAAAGATTCCATCTAGTCATGAAATTTCTCTCAATCATGGTGCTAAAACAGTAAGTGTGCATGTATGGAACTGACTTGGCTGCATTACACAGAAAATAGTTTTTCATAAGACAACAGAGATAATGAAATTACTACATGTATTAAGTGTTTTAATGGTGAAAACTTAAGTTTTTTTTGTGATGTTGGGTGTTGTCTAATTGATTTATACCCAACATCAATTATTAATATCAAAGCTGGAAATTATTGTATATAATTTGTATATTTAAATGGTAAACCATATGCATCAGGTTTATTTTTCGCTTTTGATGAAGGATCAAATGGTTCCCAATAACATGTACTGATTGCAATTACATTAAATACACAGTAGTATGAATTACTAAAGAAATCTTTCATGTCATCAGTTTTTAAACTTGCATCTCTCATGCTGATCAATTAGTTCTTGTGTAACTCACACTGTTATATTTTCACTCTCATAGTATAGGATATTAAATAAAAATTAGAAAAATTGGGGTTAGGGGTTTATAGGTAAATGTAAAATATATGGTTGTAATTTTTAAAATAATTATGCATTAATTTTATTTCCTGTTTTGATAGTGTCCCAGGCACTTGTTTTTTTCAATCCACCACTGCATTTAAATCAGTCCTATATAGAGCTGCCATTAAAATTTACCTCTAAAGGAATATCATAAATTTCTATAAAGTTGAATATTACTTATATTGTAACATGAATGGGACAGTTGTAAAAATTTTATTAATACATTGCAGGTATCAGCATTAACTTTGGATCCTTCAGGAGCTAGATTAGTGACAGGAGGCAATGATTATCAGGTTAAATTCTTTGATTTTGCTGGAATGGATGCATCATTACGATTCTTCAGACAAATCCAGCCATGCGAAAGGTAAATTGTTAGGAAAGCATATTTTAATATTCAAATATGAATTATGCAGATTTTCAGTATACATCAATGAGACTGAAATTAAACAACACAAAAACTAAAAGGCATCTAGAGGTCAACATACAGCCTCCAAAAACAGACAAGTGTCTATACATTATGTAAAGCCCTTATTCGTCAGGAGTCTAGAAAACATTTGTATAAATATAACAGAGACTATCAAAGCATATATTATATACATATATCATTTAGACATCCAGTCTCGACATCCTTTTTAGCCCATTATTTCTATTCTGTAAAGCCCATCCAGACCCTCTTCCATACCTATCACATGTTTAAATACATTTGAAACTCTGACTTAAATTTTACCTCATCCTGAACATAAGCTCTGAGTTAAATTTTACCTCGTCCTGAACATGCATGTAATGCTTACCTGTAGACATTTATATTACTTTAGAATAAAAATGTAATTTATATTTGTTTTATGACAGTTTTATTGATAACCATTCAACCAAAAAAAAAGGATCCGTTTTATATTCAATAACCATTCAAAAGTGACACTAGATAACTAAAACATAATGAAAAGTACAGGGTTGAAATATAGATAAAAAACATCTTTGATATCAACATAAATAAAGACAAAAACATATTAAAAAAAAATTCAAGGATTTTGTTCATATAAAAATAAGAATATGTGGTATGATTGCCAATGAGACAACTCTCCACCAGAACCCAAATGACATAGAACAATAGGTCACTGTACAGCGTTCATTAATGAACAAAACCCATCATACATAGTAAGCTATAAAAGGCCCTGAATTGACAAATGTAAAATCCATATGTAAACTACTTTTTTTCTTGCCAATTGTAGTCATCCAATAAGGCAGTTACAGTACAGTTCTACAGGTGATAAGATTCTGGTTGTGTCTGGTAACTGTAAGCCTAAAGTTTTAGATCGAGATGGTCATGAGGTGTTAGAGTGTATGAAAGGAGATCCATATATAAATGATGTAGCTAATACAAAGGTATTTAACAACAGGAGAAAATCACATAAAGTGAGATGTGAATACCTCTCTAAAGATCTTGTTTTGAAATAAGATGAAACCTTGATTCCAATGACTAGTTAGAAGACATGTTACTCAGAGTCAAAATATTATCTTTTATATTACTTCTTATGTCGAGGTTATTTATTCAGTTTAAGATATCTTGAAAATAATTTGCATTTAATATGAAAGGTTATGGGCCCAAAATTTGATTTAATAACATATTCATAGATATAAGAAGATGTGGTATGAGTGCCAATGAGACAACTCTCCATCCAAGTCAAAATTTATAAAAGTATACCATTATAGGTCACAGTACGGTCTTCAACACGGAGCCTTGGCTCACACCGAACAGTAAGCTATAAAGGGCCCCCAAAATTACTAGTGTAAAACCATTCAAACGGGAAAACCAACGGTCTAATCTATATAAAAAACGAGAAACGAGAAACACTTATGAACCACATCAACAAACGACAACTACTGAACATCAGATTCCTGACTTAGGACAGGTGCAAACAAATGCAGCGGGTTTAAACGTTTTAATGGTACCAAACCTTCACCCTTTTTCTGAAACAATAGTGTAACATCACAACATAGAAAGACACACTATAAAATATCAACTGAAATAGCTTAACTCAATCAAAGGACATATTAACACCATTGAACATACACTGAACAAATAAATTTGACCTATGATACAATGTAAATACAAAATAAATAAACTAAGGGAAGAATAATAAAAGTAACATGTTATATCGGTATGAAATGTTAAACAATTAAAGAAAAACAATCTGCTCGAACAAAAATATCAGCCGTTTGCAATAACTTTAAACACAGGTAAATGAAAATAATTTTGTTGTTAGGTATACGTATACAGTACCAATAGAGAAAGGAAATATTTTTACAAAATAAATAATTTTGATGTTCATAGTACGAAGTGAAAATTTATAGTAATACCAAACACTTATAAAAGCTGGTATATAGACCAGATATAACCCTGAATAACATTAAATAACAAAAAAGCAATACAATTAGTATCAACAGGTCAAATAAACAAGAAAGTATGATTTGAGAGTACTCGCAGTTACTGACAGCTAGTTAAAAGCCAAAACAATTAATAATAAAAAATCATGCATCAGAGACTAAAATCAACTAAAACACATCCCAGGGATTTAGTATTTTAACGTCATGGACAGTCAAAGAAGACATGACTAGTGCAATGCCAAAAATAAATGTATCGACAGACAGTAGGATAGTTAGGAGTTTAACCTCTTTATAGATCAAAACGAACGTGGGTGTGTCTTTATACATCCCGTTTGAAAAGAATACAAATTTAGTTATGTTTTAATTTGCTGATGACAAAATCGATATTAGTGCCAATGTAAACTATATTCAAAGATCTAATTACAACATTGGTAAGATAACCTTTACTAATAAGTTTGTTTAAAGGTTCGATGAGTTTACACGGATCACATAGTGATTTCCGCGCTTTAAGTACAATATTACCGTAAAATTTAGGATGTGAAATACCGTTTTTAATCAGTTTTCTACAAGTACAGCCAAATTTACTTATCAAATCTTTGTATCTATGAAAGAACTTAGCAAAAGTTTTACATAATTTATGGTAATGAAATCCCTGATTTAATAATTTACCAGTGATGCATTGATTACGTTCGTTAAAATCTATGACATCACTACACACACGGGCATAACGAACGAGTTGGGATATATAAACACCGTATGATGGATTCCAATTACATCCTGTTTGAAAAGAATACAAATTTAGTTATATTTTAATTTGCTGATGACAAAATCGATATTAGTGCCAATGTAAACTATATTCAAAGATCTAATTACAACATTGGTAAGATAACCTATACTAATAAGTTTGTTTAAAGGTTCGATGAGTTTACACGGATCACATAGTGATTTCCGCGCTTTAAGTACAATATTACCGTAAAATTTAGGATGTGAAATACCGTTTTCAATCAGTTTTCTACAAGTACAGCCAAATTTACTAATCAAATCTTTGTATCTATGAAAGAACTTAGCAAAAGTTTTACGTAATTTATGGTAACGAAATCCCTGATTTAATAATTTACCAGTGATGCATTGATTACATTCGTTTAAATCTATGACATCACTACACACACGGGCATAACGAACGAGTTGGGATATATAAACACCGTATGATGGAGCCAAAGGAACATCGCCGTCTAAAAAAGGAAAATTAACAATAGGGAATGAAAAATCGTCTCTTTTGTCGTAAATTTTTGTATGGAGTTCATATTCATGTTCATATTCATGTTCATATTCATGTTCATGTCAATTATTAATTGAAATTACATTAATTAAGACACAATGCAGTAAAAGAACTAATATAACTGTTTGTCAGTCCATCTTCAGATCATTTGGCACTATTTTTTTGTTGTGGTTGAGTCACTTACAAATAGTGATGAAATTAAACAAAATACCTTTGACATTGAAAAATTCACAGGATTGTTTGCAACCAATTTTGTCCAATAGAGACCTTTCTTGACAACAGTGTTTCAGGACTAAAGCATGTCTCTGGATATTTACCAATAGTATAATTGTTTGTATATTTTGTAATGAGTTAGTGCAGGATAATTTTGCTATATCAATATATATCAGATAACAAACAAAATTTACTTTAATTTCAATTTTTTTCAGGGTCACACTGCAATGTTAAATGGTGGATGTTGGAACCCAAAAGTCAGAGAAGAATTCATGACATGTTCAAATGATGCGTAAGATTATTATATTGTGTTTAAAAGAAATTTATTCAAACTTAGAAAGTTTTTCCCTCAACATTCAAATCTTAGGTAATTAGAACATAGGTAATTATAAAGAATGCTGCCCTGCCCCAACTGTTCCTTTAGGAAATATCACAAAATGTTGGGTGGTTTATTGAAGCCCTTTTTGTTTTTATTTATTAAAGCTTTTATATTTTTTGCTTTTCAAATTTTAGTTTCGTGTCCACATACAAAGGGTACATATCTGTTTTTCCTTCTGAACTATTATCCAGATAACCTTCATAACGTGACCATTTCCCTCAAATGCAGGAAAATATACAAATTCAACATTAGGAAAATTTCTAAGCCAAAAACCATATCAACAATTCAATAATCCTGTGGTTTTCTCACACAAAAAAAACTTAAGATCAGTTATAAATGATATATACACAAGTCATGGAAATATTTTAGAACAGAAGTATTTTTTGTCTTCATATGTCTGTTTTGTGTTGTTGTAGTGCTGTCTCATTAACAGATACCCAACATTTTATTCATACTTTCTGAATAGCAGATGCAATGTAAACATTCTCATATATAGACAAATAGTCAGAATTAGATAAAAATGTTCCAATATCTAAAATCCATGAAAAGAACATACTTTATTTCACTTTCTAGAAAAGTTATTTTAAAAATGTACAAAACAAGAAACAATATTATTACAATTATTCTTAAACATCAATACATGTACTGATATCTAAGATATTGCTTAGGACTAAAAAACAGGATTTTGATGGCCACTACTGTACTAGATATTATGGCAGCTTGACTTATTCTTAAACAAGTGTGCAATTTTTATATTCATAAAAACAGTGATTGATAACAAAGCATTTTTATGAATATGAGTGTTAGAACATATAATATTGTTGTTAATGGTGAATAACATATTTTTATTCTTTTTTGTCGAGCCTTCGACTTTTGTCGAAAAAGCGAGACATAGCGATCCTACATTCCAGCGGCGGTGGCGTCCACAAATATTCACTCTGTGGTTAAAGTTTTTGAAATTTTAATAACTTTCTTAAACTATCCTGGATTTCTACCAAACTTGGACAGAGGCTTGTTTATGATCATAAGAATGATCCAGAAGTAAATTTTGTAAAAAAAAAATTCCAGTTTTTCCGTAATTTACTTATAAATGGACTTAGTTTTTCTGCCAGTTAACATTACATTCACTCTGTGGTTAAAGTTTTTGAAATTTTAATAACTTTCTTAAACTATCCTGGATTTGTACCAAACTTGGACAGAAGCTTGTTTATGATCATAAGATAGTATCCAGAAGTAAATTTTATAATAAAAAAATCCTGTTTTTCCGTATTTTACTTATAAATGGACTTATTTTTTCTGCCAGTTAACATTACATTCACTCTGTGGTTAAAGTTTTTAAAACTTTAATAACTTTCTTAAACTATCCAGGAATTTTACCAAACTTGGACAGAAGCTTGTTTATGATCATAAGATAGTATCCAGAAGTAAATTTTGTAAAAAAAAAATCCTGTTTTTCCGTATTTTACTTATAAATGGACTTAGTTTTTCTGCCAGTTAACATAACATTCACTATGTGGTTAAAGTTTTTAAAATTTTAATAACTTTCTTAAACTATCCAGGAATTTTACCAAACTTGGACAGAAGCTTGTTTATGATCAAAAGCTAGTATCTAGAAGGAAATTTTGTAAAAATTTATTTCCTGTTTTTCCGTATATTACTTATAAATGGACTTAGTTTTTCTTCCAGTTAACATTACATACAGTCTGCAGTTAAAGTTTTTAAAACATTTATTAGATTCATAAACCATCCTGGATTTTTACCAAACTTGGACACAAGCTTCTTACAATCAAAAGATAGTATCTAGAGGAAAAGTTTTAATAAGTTTTTCCCCATTTTTGTTGACATAGTGATCCTACATTCCGTCATCGTCTGGATTAAGGGATAAATCATCAAACAATGTAAAAATTATCTTCTTTATCATTTGTTCATTCAATCAATTTATGTTTCAACTCTTTTATAAATCTATAGATTTGATTCCATACTGTATTCATTTTTACAAGCATAACTTTTTTCATACATTTCAAACGTTTTATTTCATTAACTGTAAATCTATTATGTGCATTCCCCTATCACACTGAAAACATAGATAACAGCAAAAGTAGGCGAGACACTGGGTTACGTGGAACCCTTACGAATTTTTCCTGGTGGTGTTTGGTCCATTTCATTGATACTTTTGTTGATAAGTCTTTATTAAAATAGACTGCAAATGATAAATTAATTATAATAATCAAAGGGTTGCAAGCTATCATTAAATTATTAAATAAGACTTGTTTTGTTCTAACTGATTTGAAGCCAAAACCATAATAGTTATTAAAGATTACTCTGTTAATTATAAACTTGTAAACCATTATACATTAGATCTTTAAAAATCATGATTAAAGACATACAAACAATGATCTACAAGCTACAACCACTACATCAAACATATAATTGATCTGAAGCTTGGAGAAGCCATTTGTATAATTATTACTCAAATCCAATCAGAGCACATGGGTGTTTATTTGACAATATAAACATCAAGCTGTGATCATATGATACACTATGAAAACATAAATATTTCCATTGGCAAATGAAATTACAAATTCCTGGTCATGTGTAGAAGTGCTTATTTTGTAAACAAAACATAAGTAAATTTTGTCCAATTAAATCATTGTTTGTTTTGAAATGTCCAATCACTATGGTTCTTTCAGACACATCACATACTTTGAACCAATAAGATTGTTAACTTCAATGGCTTCAAATTTAAAGTTGTATAAATTTCAGTCTAAAACAAAAGCAAAACATAAATAATTTAAATACTACAATACACAACATGGCATTTAATGACAGCAATCTACCAAATGACTTCCATGTATACCTTGATTCCTTGCCAAGTGGTCTACATCTGACAGTCTACAACGAAGAATACTTGTATCTAGACCTGGTGCTAACTATGACAATACTAGAGTTACAGACTACTTCTCACTACTGCCTGTATACTTCTGGACTTGCCTAGAGCACATCAAGTGTGTTCAGATTCCTACAATGATGATACAACAGACTCCAGATGAATACAAACTAACGTTACACTACCACGAAGATGACATCAGCCATGATGTCTACCACCAAAAAGATGACATCAGCCATGATGACTACCACCAACAAGATGACATCAGCTATAGTGTCTACCATCAGACTCATGCCATAAGCTATGATCACCAACATATTAGTAACTGCCACTATGATGACCATCAAGTAGATATAGACTATAAAGATGCCATCCATTATGAACTGCTAGATGCCTACCACCTACAATATGACATCCACTATCATCATCATCAAGATTACTATACCAGCTATCATGTAGATGACACAGAATACTATCCTAGAGATTAGTAATTGATTGGCCTGATGAATGACTCTAATAAACATTTTTAAAATGAATCCAGTGTGATATTTGTATTAATGTTATGAACATAATGGGAAATAACATTTTCTTCATGTTTTGGACTGTGCACTAACAACATAAATGTATTTTTGTTAACTTTTCAGTGCTTCATCAATTTTGTATTCTTTGTTTAATAATAACATATTGTAATAGTGCTTTAATATTCCCAGTTGCAATATAGTATCTTTAATACATATTGTTGTTCCATATTTTTCACTAAGGTTTAGATTTTTCTTGTACAGATATGGCATACATGTCTGTCTATTAACACAGAAAACTCATTTACAATTTATCCACAAAGAAAGCAGTTTAAAAGAAAAGAATACCCTTAGCACATCTCATGAGCTATGGGGAATATCCCCCATGAGAGTTGTTGACTTGACTCTTGAAATCATCTATTTTGTAAACTAAAAATCATTAAAAGAGCATTCAAAGGATTGAAATGTCATTTTAGCAGATATTTATATAATGAGTTTTAAAACAGTTATAACATGTATATGCATTAGGTTCATTTGTGTTTAAAGTCCCCCATGGAGATTTTAAAAAATTGAAATGTATGGTATTTACATAATCCATTTTTGTCAAATTTGGTGACTGCTTTCTACCTTTGGTGGAAATGCTCTTCTAATAAAATAAATTTCGGCGAAGAAGTACAGAACATAATTATTTAGAATTAAGAACTTTACAATCACCCATATATGTTTTCTGAAATTAAAAGATCTATTAGTCCACCAAAATTTTTCAAAAATATGTATATTTTTCAAGATTAAAGAAATTGCCTGAATACTTTACGTAGTAGATGTAAACAAATGACACCTTAACCTTCTGAAATGAAGTTTTCTTCTGGTTCCTGCTCCAGTACTACCATTAGGGTATTGTTATATGTAGAAAGTTATATGTTATATGGAGTTTGATGCGACTGTCATACAAGTGAGAGGTTTAGCTAGCTATAAAACCAGGTTAAATCCACCATTTTCTACTTAAGAAAATGCCTGTACCAAGTCAGGAATATGACAGTTGTTATCCATTCGTTTGATGTGTTTGAACTTTTGATTTTGCCATTTGATTGGGGACTTTCCTTTTTGAATTTTCCTCGGAGTTCAGTATTTTTGTGATTTTACTTTTTATACGTATCATGAAAAAAATCATAAGGTAGCACTGTAATCCTTAAAATTTGGTAAAATATGACAGCATTTATTCCTGTTCACTAAATTTTGAAATCATTTTGATTTATAACTGATTAATATGAAAAATGTCGCATTTAAATATTAAGTTGTAATTTGCCATTAAAAACAGTTCTGCATTTACATTAAAAAAATAGCATTTTTATCAATTGTAAAAGATTCAAAATTGTAAGTGACAAATATTTTGTTTGATATTTCAGATCTGTTAGACTTTGGGATGTAAACACAGGATGCAAAAAACATAAAAATATAATGAAACCTAAAACACAACAAGGAAGAAAATGTATTCCCACAGCTTGTTGTTATAGTAATGATGGACGATGGGTAGCATGTGGTTGTCAGGATGGTTCCATACAAATATGGGACCATAATAAAAATTTTGTAAGTTTTTGATATAATGACTTCATTTATTTTCACTAGTACATGTACCAGTTTTCATGGATTGATTGAAGAATTGTGAAATCTGTACTTGATTCATGGTTATTCATTAATCCATGTATTTGCTATCTATAAATATAGATATATTAGTTACTGAAAAGACCGTTTTATTTTAATGAACATTCTTGATTATAAGCAATATGTTTTGTGAAATTGTCTAAAGATTTGAAAGAATGTGCAATGTACATTTTTACAGTAGTGTTTTCATTTTCACCCAAAATCTGAAACCATATCAAACATTTGAGTTCTTTGTGTGTCAGTCTCATTATCAAAATTAATTTTTGTCCCTCACATGACACATTGCAGGGGACAAAGAAATACAGGGCATCAGTCCATGTGTCCATCATATACAATTGTTGCCAGGTTTTTCTGGTTTCTGAACAAATACTTATGTATTAGTCAATGGATCTCTATGAAATTGTACCACAAGGTTCCATACCACACACAGAAGGTTGGGGTCGACTTTGTGGTTTGGCTTTAATCGTTAAGAAACTAGAGGCCAAATAGGGGCCAAAAACAAGACTTTTTTAATACTGGCTAAGCTGGTTCTAACATAAATTATTTCTGATCTATATAAAGAAACAACAAATACTGATATGGCAGGAGATACACACCAAACAGGATGTTTAAATTATTATATTTAGTTTGTAAACAGAACTAAGTATTGCCCAACAGCAAGAAATCTTCAATTTTTACCATGTATTACTATATTGGATATTTGGACATTTTTAAATAGGTCTACATTGAGGTCCAAAGGGTCCAAAATTAGACTTTGTTTGATTTCATCAAAAAATGAATTCTTGTGGTTCTATGATATGCTGAATCTTACTGTGCATTCAGATTTTTAATTTTGGGCCCTGTTTTCAAATTTGTCCATATTAAGGTTCAAAGGGTCCAAAATTAAACTTTGTTTGAATTCATGGTTTTTTTTTATATGCTGAATCTAACAATGGAATTACATTTTGGATATTGGACCATTAAGTAGATTAAATGTCCCATTTCAAATTTTTAAGTTATCTGACCACATTTATTCTTAGTCAGAAATCTATAAGGTGTCAAATATTTAATCACTATCCAAATTCAGAGCTGTATCAAGCTTGAATATTGTGTCCATACTTTCCCCAACTGTTCAGAGTTTGACCTCTGCGGTCGCATCCAGCTGCTCCAGGCAGAGCACATTTTTATCAAACTTTTATGAGTAATGACTCATACAAGTTCAAGAACCAGGGCAGATCAATTATTTTTAAAGGGATGCCCTTAGAAATATTAATTACATGGAAAAAAAGCACTTTCACATGTAAAATTCTTGTCAGTTTTTTGTCAAGCCTGCGACTTTTGTCGCAGAAAGCTCGACATAGGGATAGTGATCCGGCCGCGACGGCGGCGTTAGCTAACTTCTTAAAAGCTTTATATTTTAGAAGGTGGAAGGTCTGGATGCTTCATACTTTGTATATGGATGCCTCATGTTACGAAGTTTCCGTCAGTCACATGTCAAATGTCCTTGACCTCATTTTCATGGTTCAGTGACTACTTGAAAAAAAAGTTAAGATTTTTTGTAATGTTAGATTCTCTCTTATTATAAGTAATAGGATAACTGTATTTGGTATGTGCGTACCTTGCAAGGTCCTCATGCCCGTCAGACAGTTTTCACTTGACCTCGACCTCATTTCATGGATCAGTGAACAAGGTTAAGTTTTGGTGGTCAAGTCCATATCTCAGATACTATAAGCAATAGGTCTAGTATATTCGGTGTATGGAAGGACTGTAAGGTGTACATGTCCAACTGGCAGGTGTCATCTGACCTTGACCTCATTTTCATGGTTCAGTGGTTATAGTTAAGTTTTTGTGTTTTGGTCTGTTTTTCTTATACTGTATGCCATAGGTCTACTATATTTGGTGTATGGAATGATTGTAAGGTGTACATGTGTAGCGGGCAGGTGTCATCTGACCTTGACCTCATTTTCATGGTTCAGTGGTCAAAGTTAAGTTTTTGAGTTTTGGTCTTTTTTTCTAATACTATATGCAATAGTTCAACTATATTTGGTATGTGCGTACCTTGCAAGGTCCTCATGCCCGTCAGACAGTTTTCACTTGACCTCGACCTCATTTCATGGATCAGTGAACAAGGTTAAGTTTTGGTGGTCAAGTCCATATCTCAGATACTATAAGCAATAGGTCTAGTATTTTTCGGTGTATGGAAGGACTGTAAGGTGTACATGTCCAACTGGCAGGTGTCATCTGACCTTGACCTCATTTTCATGGTTCAGTGGTTATAGTTAAGTTTTTGTGTTTTGGTCTGTTTTTCTTATACTGTATGCCATAGGTCTACTATATTTGGTGTATGGAATGATTGTAAGGAGTACATGTCTAGCGGGCAGGTGTCATCTGACCTTGACCTCATTTTCATGGTTCAGTGGTCAAAGTTAAGTTTTTTGAGTTTTGGTCTTTTTTTCTAATACTATATGTAATAGTTCAACTATATTTGGTGTATGGAAATATTTTATGATCTATTTGGCAGTCACGCAGGTTTTATTTGACCTTGACCTCATTTTCAAGGTTCATTGCTCAGTGTTAAGTTTTTGTGTTTTGGTCTGTTTTTCTTAAACTATAAGCAATAGGTCAACTATATTTGTTGTATGGAAGAATTGTTAGCTGTTGCCTGCCTAGCATGGTTCATCTGACCTTGACCTAATTTTCATGGTTCATTGGTCAATGTTTAGTTTACTTGGTTAATGTTAAGTTTATGTGACAGTTGTAATAAAGCTTTATATTTAGGACTATCACCATAATATCAATGATTAGTAAAGAAGGCGAGACATTTCAGCGTGTGCACTCTTGTATCAAACTTATAATTAACATAGAATTCAGAAGCTTGAATGTTAGGTAAACAAATTTCTTTTTAAGGGTACATTATAGGCCCCAAAGTCAGCACATTTGAATATATTGTCAAAACACGATGATTTTGTGTATTTACTGACCTACAAGCTTTACGAAAACCTTGGCCACTACCTTTGATCCAAAATGTTCTGTAACTTAAAGGTTAAATTGAATATCTGGACACAAAACACTTCTGGATCAAACCTGACATTACAACACAAATAAAGCATCATCAAGGGGTCATTACTTTATAATTTATAATGTGATCTGCCAAAAACAAGTTATTTTGTATTAGTTGCAATATAACTATTTTTATGTGTAATTTGTAGTATTTTGGCATGATTAAAAAAATATTAAAATCTTAGGGCCAATTTTAACCCTTCGGAAACCTACTCACTTTGAATGAAGGCTCATGATAAAAAAAATCATCCATAACTTTTTGAAGATATGTAATTGACCTCAATCTTTTTTTTTTTATATCAAGTATTTATTGAATTGGAAATGGGTGGCAGATGATCGGTATATGCTTATTGTTGGCCTATAATCTGGATGTAATTTTTCTGTTGCCAGGTTAATGTTGGAATGGTGAGCAGAACAGCACATATGAATGGTACAGACACTTCCTGTTTATGCTTTTCGTATGATGACAGGGTCTTAGCATCCAGGGGAGGTAACAACATCAGTATATGAGATTTAAAAAATTAATTGCTAAAAATTTTAAATTAGAATATTCATGAACAAAATCAAAGAGAAAAATAGTTGTCCAGATTTGTGCCCAGGAAAAGCTCTCCCATGATATTGGGGAAACAATAATTTCAGGTTCTTATCGATAAAAAAATTCATTGATAAAAAAAATGCTAAAAAAAACACCTTAATTTAGTTATATATATCTTTATTCTCAATAAACCATATACATAGTTATAGAGAAGACATTTATAGTGATCACTGATGTAAGATCTTTACACTTAACAAGGTAATTTACACATTGCCATTCATTCCCATTTTATTTTAAATATAAGCTTACATCCAGTTACCAGTACTTTATCCTTATTTTCAGGTGACGATACTGTCAAATTATGGGACATAAGAAACTTCAAAACACCACTTGTAAGCAGGGATGGATTAACAAACTTCTTTCCAGTGTAAGTGTTATATACATACAGCTTAACTTTAATTAATTCAGTTGAAGAACCAAATAAATTTAGTAACACTGTTGGGTAAATGTGTTTGTTCTATATTTATTGGCAGATACTAGTGCATGAAGTTGTTTGTATTTAAAATACTAGTACTTCTTAAATTTATCTGTTTCCATACATATAAACTGAACAGCTTATATTTGGAATATATGGATTTGCTTGCAGGGGCTGATTTAGAGGGTGTGCCTGGGCCCCCTTATTGAGTTTCATTTATGGTTAATCCAGACTATTTACCGGTTCCACTACAAATTTTGTCTAGTTTGGGGGACCACGGCCCCCCTTTTTCAAAATCCTGGATCCGCATCTGGCTTGGTGGATTCCATTATTGTCACAATTATTCTTCTATACTTTTAATTTTTATTGAACTATTTACCAATAGTACCAAGAATTTTATTTGTTTATTATCAATGTGTGGTATACTACTGTAAATTCAGAAATTACTGCATGCATTTGTTATTGCGATTTATGAAGAATGGACAATAATGCGTGAATAATTATTGCGATTTCAGGAAATTCTGCATACATATGCAAATATCAGATATCTGAATGCGAGTTCCAATTATTGCGATACTAACTTAGTCGCACTATTCGCATTAATAAAAACCTCGCAATAATTTCTGAATTTACAGTATCCACTCATATGAAATAATGGAAGATAACACTTTTTTTTAACAAAAATCATATGAGGGTCTGGATTGGGTTTACAGAATAGAGAATAATAGGGGAAAAGTTCAGAAAAAAGGCAAAAAAGAAAAAGAGTAGAGAAAGATAGTAAAAAAAATAAAGTTTATAGAATAATGGGGTGCTAAAATAGAAAGAATAGAGAATAATGGGGGTGGGGGGGGGGGGGGGGGGGGGGAGATAAAAAATAGAGAAAAATGTCTTTTGAAATTAAAAAAATACTAAAATGAAGAACCCTCCATCCAGACACTCATATCCACAATGGAGCTCCTGTGAGACATGCTTCAATAGAGGGCACCTTACACTTTTCATTGATCTCACACAGAAATGAAAACCTACCTGCATTCTTAGTTGTTAGTTTAATTGTGCAAGCAAGTTTTTCCCCATTGATTGATTTTTAAAACTGATTGAAATTGGAATAAATATGTTTTATTGTTGGTTGCTATTTGTATAGAAAAAAGTTTACTGACTTGAAATATTTTTAATGGGAAGTAACTCTAGTTCTTTTTATACCTGATTTTTGTCGAGCCTGCGACTTTTGTCGCAGAAAGCTCGACATAGGGATAGTGATCCGGCTACGGCGGCGGCGGCGTTAGCTAATTTCTTAAAAGCTTTATATTTTAGAAGGTGGAAGGTCTGGATGCTTCATACTTTGTATATGGATGCCTCATGTTACGAAGTTTCCGTCAGTCACATGTCCAATGTCCTTGACCTCATTTTCATGGTTCAGTGACTACTTGAAAAAAAAGTTAAGATTTTTTGTAATGTAAGATTCTCTCTTATTATAAGTAATAGGATAACTATATTTGGTATGTGCGTACCTTGCAAGGTCCTCATGCCCGTCAGACAGTTTTCACTTGACCTCGACCTCATTTCATGGATCAGTGAACAAGGTTAAGTTTTGGTGGTCAAGTCCATATCTCAGATACTATAAGCAATAGGTCTAGTATATTTGGTGTATGGAAGGACTGTAAGGTGTACATGTCCAACTGGCAGGTGTCATCCGACCTTGACCTCATTTTCATGGTTCAGTGGTTATAGTTAAGTTTTTGTGTTTTGGTCTGTTTTTCTTATACTGTATGCCATAGGTCTACTATATTTGGTGTATGGAATGATTGTAAGGTGTACATGTGTAGCGGGCAGGTGTCATCTGACCTTGACCTCATTTTCATGGTTCAGTGGTCAAAGTTAAGTTTTTGAGTTTTGGTCTTTTTTTCTAGTACTATATGCAATAGTTCAACTATATTTGGTATGTGCGTACCTTGCAAGGTCCTCATGCCCGTCAGACAGTTTTCACTTGACCTCGACCTCATTTCATGGATCAGTGAACAAGGTTAAGTTTTGGTGGTCAAGTCCATATCTCAGATACTATAAGCAATAGGTCTAGTATATTCGGTGTATGGAAGGACTGTAAGGTGTACATGTCCAACTGGCAGGTGTCATCTGACCTTGACCTCATTTTCATGGTTCAGTGGTTATAGTTAAGTTTTTGTGTTTTGGTTTGTTTTTCTTATACTGTATGCCATAGGTCTACTATATTTGGTGTATGGAATGATTGTAAGGTGTACATGTCTAGCGGGCAGGTGTCATCTGACCTTGACCTCATTTTCATGGTTCAGTGGTCAAAGTTAAGTTTTTTGAGTTTTGGTCCTTTTTTCTAATACTTTATGCAATAGTTCAACTATATTTGGTGTATGGAAATATTTTATGATCTATTTGGCAGTCACACAGGTTTTATTTGACCTTGACCTCATTTTCAAGGTTCATTGCTCAGTGTTAAGTTTTTGTGTTTTGGTCTGTTTTTCTTAAACTATAAGCAATAGGTCAATTATATTTGTTGTATGGAAGAATTGGTAGCTGTACATGCCTGCCTAGCATGGTTCATCTGACCTTGACCTCATTCTCATGGTTCATTGGTCAATGTTTAGTTTACTTGGTTAATGTTAAGTTTATGTGACAGTTGTAATAAAGCTTTATATTTAGGACTATCAACATAATATCAATGATTAGTAAAGAAGGCGAGACATTTCAGCGTGTGCACTCTTGTTAATAATATTTTGTTTTACATGTATTTTAATCCTATATTTAATAGATTATATATCTAAATCTGGTTTCATACATTAAACTTCCAAATGAAAAGTTTTTACAATGTATATTAATTTTTATTTACCAGTTTGATAATTTTAAAAAAGTCTTCTTAAGCAATTTATTTTTTTTCTATTTATACCGGACAACATGCATTAGGTAGTACTGATTACCAACAAAAGTAGATATCTTTTTAATTACCTCGAGAATATGTGTGGCAACACACAAACAAACAAGTAATTTAAAGGTTAGGTTATAATTAGATTTAAATTAATTTCTGATATTCTTTTCTTACAAACCTATGATTTGAATTCAGAAAGCCCGAAAGATTCTGAAATAACCTCCATAATGTAAGCTTGTGTGCAGAAACTCATAAATTACGTTGAAATTGAACCTAATTTGATAGATTTTTTAGTCAGCTATATGTGATTAAGTATGCAGTAGAGCAGAAGGCTGTAACATGACAAACATGTTTAACCCCACCACATTATTAAATGTAGCTGTCCCAAGTCAGCAACCTTTAATTCAGTGGTTGTCATTGGTTCGTGTTTGTCATATTTATTTTTTCATAAATTAAATTATTATAAATAAGGTAATTGTTTCACATTTTTCATGTCAGATCCAATTGTAATTAACTACACTGTATGAGTGCCCTATGATTACTATCATCCTCATCATTTGAACTATAGTAGGTAGTTGTCTCATTAGCAATCATACCACATCTCCTATTTTGTATTTTTGTTCTATAAGTGTTGTGAGTTACAGATCAAATATGCATTTTGTACCTTCTTACAGAATTACACCTCAGCTGTATACATAGAAACTGTTTGGCAGCATTTATTTCTAAAAATATAACTCTTCCAATCCTTAAAAAAATTGATTCACGATTTATTTGACAACAGAGTGATGCTCAAGATAATGACAGACAGAAGGTGGCATCAAAACATTACAAGTGGTATCTGATATCACATGGTTTATTGCCATAATATAGGTAAACATTATCCTGAATAGAATGAATGTCCCGTGGTATCAGATATCACATGGTTAATTGCCATAATATAGGCAAACATTTTCCTGAATGGAATGAATGTCCGCCTGGTATATTCCTTCTATTATTTATTTTACTTTACTGTTTATTGATGTTTTAATAATATTTTTTATTGATTTATATAGTACTGACTGTATATTCAGTCCAGATGACAGAATGGTGATAACTGGTTTGTCAATTAAAAAAGGTCAAGGTAAAGGCAAGCTGCTATTTATGGACAGACAGACACTTGATACTGTGACAGAAATTGAAATATCAGATACAGTAAGATATTTCTTGTAAATTTTCCATTCTATAAAGATTCTATTGAAGAAATTTTAATCCAAAACATTTGTTTAGATACCTTATAAAATTTACATCTTCTTGATTGATTGCTAGCTTCATTTTCAAATTGGAAAACATAACAAAAATGAAGTAATGAATGAATTATCTAAGGGAAGCTTAAGCTATTTATGATAGAGATCTTGAATTCTTCTGATATTTATAGTTTTAATTTATCAGATTCCTAATTTTCAACTGTTGTCTTCCAAATGTAAAAACTATTGCATGTAGCATGTTAATAAATGCTTATGTTTAAATTGAGAGAGATATTGTGTTACAATTGAACAGGAAAGCTCTAAATTTCTCTTGTAATTCACTGGCAGTTTTCATGTAATTTGGTACAGTCTTGACTACTTGTCAAATAAAGTTTTCTTTTCCAATTTTTAAATCTACGTTTAAAAAGTTTTAAATGGGTAATCAATAAAGTCTTTGTTGGTTTTTTATACCCCCGCTTCAAAAAAGTGGGGATATGCTGTTTTACCTCTGTCTGTCCGTCAGTCCATCCATTCATCAGTCCGTCCGTTCGTCCCATGAATATTTTTCCTCGCATCTTTCTCAGGAACTACATTACAAGGATTTCTGAAATTTGGTTTCAGGGTTTATATGAGTCAGCTATACTGTGTGATGTGTTTTCAGATTCATCACTCAACAACTTCCTGTTTACCTTATACTTTTAGCGGGGCGGGGGTATCATTAGTGAGAAGTAGCTCACAGATTCACTTGTTTGCTAATGAAACTAAACGAAAGTGAATGTCATTTAAATCATGATATATAAATTTCAGAACAATACATACCTTTTAATCCACAATATAGCTCCATATCAGATATTAACTCTATTCTTGCATGATAATAATATATACTTTGAATGGTTCAATCAAATTGCATTAGGCATAAAAAGATTCTAGTTACTTATCATTTACTGATTCATAAACACTTTATTTTCTAGGGAAAAGCACTAAAGCTAGCTTTTGGTTAAAAAACCCAAACAAAATAGTAAAAATTTATTTTGCAGGATTAGCTTATAAATTGTAATTTGTAATTTTAATATACATGTACATCTGATTTCATAAATTTGCCATTGAATTATTATTATGATTAAACAAATTAGTAGACAGCAAATATGTAACATTACTATTTCTTTTTATTCTTCATTTCAGAGTGTAGTCAGATGTTTATGGCATCCAAGGTTAAATCAAATAGTTGTAGGTAGTGCAGATGGCATTGTTAAGTTATTCTACGATCCAAAAAAAAGTCACAGGTAAATTTGTCATTAGTACTCCTTATATAATCACATTGCATGGTAATGCTATTGTCCTACATATGCATGTAATAATTGGTGCATAGCATTAAGCAGCAATCAATCAATAAAATGGTTGCCTTTCAAATTTTTTAAAGGGAGGACAACTCTGCCTTGTCACCCATTATAAATGCATGATACATGTCTCATACATGTATGTATATAACTTTTTATTGCATCACTTTTTAAGAATTCTCTGTTAAGAAACTTGTGTTATATAAACAATTGAACTATTATATGAAGAATGAGCAACTTTAGTGATTTCATATGTCATGCAGACCATTATCCAGTTTATATAATATTTCTTTCACATAAGGAATTTGATACTGAGGAGATTCAGACATATGTGTATATTAAAAATGTGTCAGTGATTCAGTTTATATTATAGGGCATAAAAGCTCCAGTTTTTATACGACCGCAAAAAATTTTTTGTGGTCGTATATTGGTATGACGTTGGCGTCGTCGTCGTCGTCCAGCGTCGTCCGAAGACACATTGGTTTTTCGCACTCTAACTTTAGTTTAAGTGAATGGATCTCTATGAAATTTTACCACAAGGTTCAATACCACAAAAGAAAGGTTGGGATTGATTTTGGGGGTTATGGTACCAACAGTAAAGGAATTAGGGGCCAAAAAGGGGCCAAAAATAAGCATTTTTGTAACTTCCAGACATAACTTGTGTGTTAGTGTATGGATCACTCTGACATTGTACCACAAGGTTCCATATCACAAAAGGAATGCTGGGATTGATTTTGGGGGTAATTGCCTCAAAATTTTAGGAATTAGGGGCCAAAAAAGGGGCAAAAAACAAGCATTTTTCTAGTTTCCAGACAATAACTTGTGTTCAAGTGTATGGATCTCTCTGAAATTGTACTGCAAGGTACCATACCACAAAGGGAAGGCTGGGATTGATGATGGGGGTAATTGCCTCAATATTTTAGGAATTAGGGGCAAAAAAGGGGCAAAAAACAAGCATTTTTCTAGTTTCAGGACAATAACTTGTGTGTAAGTGTATGGATCTTACTGAAATTGTACTACAAGTTTCCATATCACAAAGGGAAAGCTGGGTTTGAGTTTGGGGGTAATTGCCCTAGACGTTTAGAAATGTGGGGCCAAAAAGGGGCCAAAAAACACATTTTTCTAGTTTCCAGACAATAACTTGTGTTCAAGTGTATGGATCTCTCTGAAATTGTACTGCAAGGTACCATACCACAAAGGGAAGGCTGGGATTGAGTTTGGGGGTGATGAATCATAAGGGGTTCAAAAAATTTGGGGGGGGGGATTTTTTTTTTTTTCCTTTTTTTTTCTTTTTTTCCTTTTTCTTTTCTTTTAAAATTTTCCATTTTAAGTTGGTTATTTCTGATTTATATTTAAAAGCAAATAATAATGATATGGAAGGAGATACACACCAAACAGGATGTGTAAATTATTATGTAATAAGTATTGTGCAATAGCAAGAAATTTTCAATTGCACAGTATTGCACAATAGCAAGAAATCTTCAATTGCACGGTATTGCGCAATAGCAAGAAATCTTCAATTGCACAGTATTGTGCAATAGCAAGAAATATCCAATAGCACAATATTGCGCAATAGCAAGAAATTGTCAATTGTACAGTATTGCGCAATAGCAAGAAATATTTAATTGCACAGTATTGTGCAAAAGAAGATACTTCGTATAAATTGCTTATTTCTTGACCAATTTCAATGGGGTTTATTCTTGAATTCTTGGGGTTCTTTAATATGCTGAATCTAACCGTGTATTTAGTTTTTGGATTTTGGGCCCCGTTTTTAAATTGGTCCACATTGAGGTCCAAAGGGTCCAAAATTAAACTTTGTTTGATTTTTATCAAAAATTGAATTATTGGGGTTCTTTGATATGATGAATCTAACCGTGTATTTAGATTCTTAATTTTTGGTTCTGTTTTCAAATTGGTCTACATTAAGGTCCAAAGGGTCCAAAATTCAACTTAGTTTGATTTTAACAAAAAATGAATTCTAAGGGTTCTTTGATATGCTGAATCTAAACATGTATTTAGATTTTTGATTATGGGCCCAGTTTTCAAGTTGGTCAAAATCGGGGTCCAAAATTAAACTTTGTTTGATTTCAACAAAAATTGAATATATGGGGTTCTTTGATATGCTGAATCTAACCATGTATTTAGATTTTTGATTTTTGGGCCCCGTTATCAACTTTGTCCACATTGAGGTCAAAAGGGTCCAAAATTAAACTTTGTTTGATTTCATCAAAAATTGAATTCTTGGGGTTCTTTGATATGCTGAATCTAACCATGTATTTAGATGTTGGATATTGGACCATAATAGGTGAATGTACAATTTAAAATTTTTAAGTTCTTAGACCACATTCATTCTGTGTCAGAAACCTATGCTGTGTCAAATATTTAATCACAATCCAAATGCAAAGCTGTATCAAGCTTGAATGTTGTGTCCATACTTGCCCCAACTGTTCAGGGTTCGACCTCTGCGGTCGTATCAAGCTGCGCCCTGGAGCATTTTATTGTTTTTTTGTTGCACGAAATCGTCATTATTGGTATTTACTACCAATATAATCATGACAAAAATATGTGTTCAGTATCGAGGTCAATATGAGAATCCAAACCTGTTTGCTTCCAAAATCGATCAATAGGAGGTGAATTCGTGAATTCCCATTGAAAAAAGTATCACCAACTTATTTCTCCAAGAATATTAACACATTTTGAAAGTTTTCTTCCTATTTACAACACTGGAATCTACCATTTCTTTATTTCACTGCTTCAAGAACGATAACTCTACCAATTGTAAACACTAAAACAATTTGCCGCGGTCCCATCAACGAATGATGTTGGATTCAGAATTTTTTTAGAACCTTTTTTAAAAGGTCACTGTTCAATTTTAATACTTCCTATCATGGCATGAGTGAGTGCTTAATGAAGGTTTAACTGTAACTTATAGTCAACTTAAATGAAATGATTCATTATCTTTTCAGAGGAGCACTACTCTGTGTTGTTAAGAAACCCAGGGAGTCCAAACAGATGCAAGTATTGTCAACTAGACAGATTATCACACGTAAGTTTTTTTGTTAACTTATGAAAAAGTAGGTTTGAAAGCTTAAAGATATTCTATTAGACAGAAGTTTAGTTAAGTTCAACTCCCTCTACCCATTTTTCAGAATGTCTGTTTGTTAGTCTGTTCTCCCATTCTGTAATTATTCATCCATCCATCTGAAATGAGTTTGAAAGCATTTATGATTTTCTATTATGGAGTACTTGAGTTTGTTTTAGCTACCTCCACTGTCTTTTAGAGCTGCTGTGTTTTTGTCTGTTCTTTAATTTTATGTTTTTCCATCTCTCTGTAAGAAATCTTAAATACACTTCTCCTCATTAATTAGGGCCCCGCCTAGTGGCGGGTCGCCCTATAGTGATCAGTCCGTCCGTCCGTAACAAATTGTGTCCACTCTATATCTAGAGAACCGTTATAATTTCATACTTTATATTTGACATGTATATTAACCAACACCAGAGGGTGTGTCAAAATGTATGTACAACTTCCTAGGTCAAAGGTCAAGGTCAAAAACTTTGGTTTCAGTTGACAACCCCATGTCCTATGGTAAAGATTGTGTCTGCTCTCTCTCTTGAGAACCGTTATGATTTCAAAGTTTATACTTGACATGTATATTAACCAACACCAGAGGGTGTATCAAAATGTATGTACAACTTCCTAGGTCAAAGGTCAAGGTCAAAAACTTTGGTTTCAGTTGACAACCCCATGTCCTATGGTAAAGATTGTGTCTGCTCTCTCTCTTGAGAACCGTTATGATTTCAAAGTTTATACTTGACATGTATATTAACCAACACCAGAGGGTGTGTCAAAATGTATGTACAACTTCCTAGGTCAAAGGTCAAGGTCAAAAACTTTGGTTTCAGTTGACAACCCCATGTCCTATGGTAAAGATTGTGTCTGCTCTCTCTCTTGAGAACCGTTATGATTTCAAAGTTTATACTTGACATGTATATTAACCAACACCAGAGGGTGTGTCAAAATGTATGTACAACTTCCTAGGTCAAAGGTCAAGGTCAAAAACTTTGGTTTCAGTTGACAACCCCATGTCCTATGGTAAAGATACAAATTTTTTACTACACATTATTTACAGCGAGGCCCACAGAGATGGCTCCCATCTCAATGATGTCTAGTTACTTTAATGCCTAAAACTTAATCAGTTTCTCATTATATAGTGAAATTGGCATCTTGTATTAAATTTTTGATTTTTTGTCGAGCCTGCGACTTTTGTCGCAGAAAGCTCGACATAGGGATAGCGATCCGGCGGCGGCTGCGGCGGCGTTAGCTAACTTCTTAAAAGCTTTATATTTTAGAAGATGGAAGACCTGGATGCTTCATACTTTGTATATGGATGCCTCATGTTACGAAGTTTCCGTCAGTCACATGTCCAATGTCCTTGACCTCATTTTCATGGTTCAGTGACTACTTGAAAAAAAAGTTCAGATTTTTTGTAATGTTAAATTCTCTCTTATTATAAGTAATAGGATAACTATATTTGGTATGTGCGTACCTTGCAAGGTCCTCATGCCCGTCAGACAGTTTTCACTGGACCTCGACCTCATTTCATGGATCAGTGAACAAGGTTAAGTTTTCGTGGTCAAGTCCATATCTCAGATACTATAAGCAATAGGTCTAGTATATTCGGTGTATGGAAGGACTGTAAGGTGTACATGTCCAACTGGCAGGTGTCATCTGACCATGACCTCATTTTCATGGTTCAGTGGTTATAGTTAAGTTTTTGTGTTTTGGTCTGTTTTTCTTATACTGTATGCAATAGGTCTACTATATTTGGTGTATGGAATGATTGTAAGGTGTACATGTCTAGCTGGCAGGTGTCATCTGACCTTGACCTTATTTTCATGGTTCAGTGGTCAAAGTTAAGTTTTTGAGTTTTGGTCTTTCCTTCTAATACTGCATGCAATAGGTCAGCTATATTTGGTGTATGGAATGATTGTAAGGTGTGCATGTCTAGCTGGCAGGTGTCATCTTACCTTGACCTCATTTTCATGGTTCAGTGGTCAGAGTTAAGTTTTTGTGTTTTGGTCTTTTTTTCTAATACTATATGCAATAGTTCAACTATATTTGGTGTATGGAAATATTTTATGATCTATATGTCAGTTACGCAGGTTTTATTTGACCTTGACCTCATTTTCAAGGTTCATTGCTCAGTGTTAAGTTTTTGTGTTTTTGTCTGTTTTTCTTAAACTATAAGCAATAGGTCAACTATATTTGTTGTATGGAAGAATTGTTAGCTGTACATGCCTGCCTAGCATGGTTCATCTGACCTTGACCTCATTTTCATGGTTCATTGGTCAATGTTTAGTTTACTTGGTTAATGTTAAGTTTATGTGACAGTTGTAATAAAGCTTTATATTTAGGACTATCAACATAATATCAATGATTAGTAAAGAAGGCGAGACATTTCAGCGTGTGCACTCTTGTTTGTAGTAGGAAAGTGAATTCAAGAATATTTGCTAATCTCTGAAAAATATTCATATAATATTAATTACTATTTTCATAAATTTGTCTTTGAAATTTCTTTGTGATCTGAAGCTGAGGTGGGTTTTTCTCTGTCCAATAGAGTGAGAATGTGGCGATGTCATAAGGTAACGTCATTGAAGTTGCCTTGAAAAATAGTGATGAGCAGATTATCTATGGTCTTTTAAACTGGAGGAAGTTTCTCAGCTACATGTTGTGTTTCAATGAGATTGTAGCTGAGAAACCCCCTTTCCTTTTTAGAACCATCAATAATCTCTATAAAATATATCTGTTAAAAGAAGATACAATATGAAAATTGCAAAAATTCTTTTGTAGTTATACAACTGACAGAAACCAAAACACCAAATATTTAATCATATTTGATAAGATTTATTATTTTTGTTGCAGCATATGCCTTACCAATGTTCAGAGAAGCTAGACCTACAAGTACAAGGAAATTTGAAGAAAGACAACGCAAAGACCCTTTAAAATCTAGACGCCCAGATTTACCTATAACTGGACCAGGTAATACTAAAGCCAGGACAAAATTCTTGTATGGCCATATAACAATCTGATTTATGATATTTATAGTATTTTTACTATCAAGCTATTATAAAACATTGAAAATCCTTTCACTGAAGTTGAATGTTACATTGAGCCCCAAAATCAACTCTTAATAAATATTTTTTTATTAAATATAATAAAATTTCTGCTTATTTCTTATCTGAAAAATAAAATATTTGATTGATATTGTACAGGTTTAAAAATTACCAGGGAAAAGGACCTGCAAGAAAACAGTTATAAGAAGTTCAGCATTATGGATATTTGAAATCTAAACATTACTATATAATATGCATGAATCTGGATCATGAATTCAATTTTATCATATCATTTAACATTATTTAAATAGACTTATCTCATTCGGCTAGGTAACATTATCAAACTGTATTCATAGATAAAAACATTTTGAAATTTAATGAACAGGTGAAGGAGGACGATTAGCAGAAAAAGGTGCTACTTTGTCACAGTATGTTGTACAGAGTATGATACTAAGGAAACCAGATAAATATGAGAGCAATCCAAGGGAGGCTATCCTGAGACATGCTAAAGAAGCAGCAGAAAATCCTTTTTGGGTGGATGTAGCTTATCAGAAGTAAGTTTGTATTTTTAACTTTGTCAGATCATTTGCTTTAGTTTATGATCCAGCTGAACATGTATTTTACAAAATTTCAGGTATTTTTAATGTAAAATACATGTACCAGTTAATAAAGTAGTAAGTGCTTGCAAAAAATGAAAAACCATAAAGAATGAAGGGAGCTCATAAGGAGATGTGTGTGAAAACAAGACAAATTATTGAAAGCACCAAAGACTAAAAACTGAGTTAACCCACAATTTCACCCATGTTGACTTATTTGTAGATATTGTCTTGATGATATTTTTGGTATTTAAAGTTTCTCTCCATCTATTATAGTTTACAAGATAATAGGCAAGAATACAAAAAAATCAAAAAAAAATTGTCAATTAAGGGCAATAACTACTATACAAGGAGTAGTCTAACAGTTTTGGTGTAAATTAGTAGATCACAACATTCTGATAATGGACAAAGCTTGTATTTTACCATTTTCAGCCATGTTGATAGGCAGGCACGATTGGACACAATTTAGAAACTAGATACCAAAATGAAGATTGTGTCCAAGTTTGGTCCCAATTGACTAAGTAGTTTCAGAGTCGAAAATTTTGTAAAAGTTATCTGATGATGATGGACACAAGTGATGAGAAAAAATGATTCGCTATTAGCAGACAGTTTGATTCAATTTAGAAAAAGTAACCTCAAAAACATCGCTGATATATTATTGTTTTCCAAGACAATAATTCTACCTCATTTGGGTCCTTTTGCATCTAGACTCTAACATGACTCTAAATTGATATGGGTTGAAAATGTGCTCAGCATGTTTAGGAATTAAAAAGAAACGAATATCACAATTTAACTTGAAACAAGGATGCTACTGTGAAGCACCATTTCATTGACCGATTCAGCCCACAAAAAAATCATTATTATAGAGGGTAAAAAGATGATTGTCTTATTTTTTTAATCAATAACATGAAGTCTAACAGACATAGAAAAATCTTCAGTATACCATTGTTCGTCTGTATATTTATGTTTTTATCGGGGCTTATGACCAAAGAAACTTTGAAGGTTTTTTCAATGGTGAGGGTAAAAATTAATTTTTGTCCTGTGCGCAACATGTTGCGGGGAACATAGAAATACCGGGCGTCAGTCTGTCTGTCTGTCTGTCTGTCTGTCCAGTCTTGTTAGGGCTCTCACATGTACAATTCTTGCCAGATTTTTATGAAACTTATATCATAGCTTTATTTCAGCAATGTCTTGCAGGAGTTCGAAAATAATTGCTGATCAATTATTTTTAAAAGAGTTATGCCCCTTGGAAACATTAATTATATGGAAAATTGCATCGTTAGCTCTCTCATGTGTACAATTCTTATATTTTATGAAACTTATATCATAGGTTCATATCATCAATGTCTTTGACGAGTTGGAAAATCAGTGCCAATCAATTATTTTTAAAAGTGTTATTCACCTTGGAAATATTGATTATATGGAAAATTGCCTTATGAGCGCTCTAATGTGTACAATTCTTGCCAGATTTTTATGAAATTTATATTATAGCTTTAAATCATCAATGTCTTTGACGAGTTCGAAAATCAGTGCCGACCAATTATTATTTAAAGAGTTATGCCCCTTGAAAATATTGATTTTATGGAAAATTGCATGGTTAGCGCTCTCACATGTACAATTCTTGCCAGATTTTTAAGAAATTTGTATTATAGGTTTATATCATCAATTTCTCGGACAAATTCAAAAATAAGTGCTGATCAATTATTTTTTAAAGTTATGCCCTTGGAAATATGGAAAATTGCATTGTTAGCACTCCTATGTGTACAATTCTCGCCAGATTTTTATAAAACTTTTAAAAGCCTTCATTTCTCTAGATATTTAATATAAAAAATGTTTTTTTTAGTTATTGCCCTTGTACCTTGGATAGATAAATTATGTGCAATGCGGGGGACATTGGAACTCTGTTCTTTTATTTTTATTGTGAAAATCATTACATACACATTACAAAGGATAGTTTAAATTGGACTGAAAACAAGTGATTCATCACGTTTATGAATTTCTCTATTGATGGTTAATAAGATGGTGGCATCTAAAATACACATGGAATGCTTTATTATACCCCCCGCTTTAAAAAAGTGGGGGTATACTGTTTTACCTCTGTCTGTCCGTCAGTCCATCAGTCAGTCCATCCATCCGTCAGTCCGTCCGTCCGTCCGTCCGTCCCATGAATATTTTTCCTCGCATCTTTCTCAGGAACTACATTACAAGGATTTCTGAAATTTGGTTTCAGGGTTTATATGAGTCAGCTATACTGTGTGATGCGTTTTCAGATTCATCGCTCAACAACTTCCTGTTTACCAAACACTTGTATCATTTTACACATGATAGCCAAGTTGAAAATTTTCGTCACATTTTTCTCAGGAACTACAATACAAGGATTTCTGAAATTTGGTTTCAGGGTTTATATAAGTCAGCTTTACCGTGTGATGCTTTTTCAGATTCATCACTCAACAACTTCCTGTTTACCAAACACTTACATATTTTTACACTATTAAAATTATCCACTTGCGGCGGGGGTATCATCAGTGAGCAGTAGCTCACAGTTTCACTTGTTATGATATGAAATATTTATTGTTTCTTGCAGGACTTTTGTAATTCTTGTTCATATTTTAATATGTTCTTAACCAAATTAAAGAGTTCAAGTCAATTCGATGGCAGCTAATAATGCCCCTTTAAAGATTGAGGTGGATAAAATTTTATCTAAGTGTAGCATTTTCTTGTAAATTATCAGCCCTTTAATGTTATTACAGACATGCATTTCTTGTCAACAAAGTCACTTTAGATGTGACAGGAAAAAGTTTGCTAACACTAGTCCTTATCATTATTTGTTTACAGGACACAACCAAAGAAAATATTTCAACAACCTGAGAGGGAAAAAGAGGAAGATGATGATGACCATCCTTTGTACAAAAAACACAAAATGGGATGAACTTAATGTCACAATAATACCTCTTTTAAAAACATATATCTAGAATTTATTGACTACAAGGTTGGTGTGTATATTGTGAAGTAAAATTCTGAAGAACAACAGCTATTCCAGTATTGCCTGAGAGAGCTATTTACATTTTGCCATATTGGGCCAAGAGACGTACCGATTCTTTATGGAAAAACACAAAAGCAATATAATATGCTATCAAGATATGAATACACTTTACCAGTAACTAAATTCAGACACGACATCCAGACTGTGATGAAAAATACAGTATAAATTTTTAAACTTTGCTTTGTTTTCTATTTAATGTTGCCATATAGAAAAATAGTTTAGTAAACAGTATGTAGGATCCCATACATGTTTTCTATAGCATATGGATCTCTGGTCATCACCATGTAGCAACAAATGAACTTTAGGAGTGTGGGGAAGTATATTGCAATCACATTGTCTGTTAATCAGCTCACCCATCAAATGTTTTTGTCACATTTTCTAGATACTACTGAACAGAATGACTTCATGTTTGGTCAGCAGCTTAACATTAATGAGTTGTAATGTGGTAGTACGTTCCGGATCTGTCAGAAACCTAATTCCTGTTAGCCCATACTTTGAATTGTTGATGTTTAATGTTAAATGAACTGAATATTTTTGTCACACATTTCTCCAGTACTCCCGAACACAGTAACTTCATATTTGGTCAGCAGGTTGACAGTTATGACTTTTGTTACGTAAAAGTGCTTTTCAGATATGTCAGACACCTACATGTTCTTGTTGTTTGCAGATACTTTGAATTTTTCAATATGTTGAATGAACTGAATACATTTTCATCACACATTTCTCCAGTACTACTGAAGAGAATGATTTCATTCATCACTGGTTTACAGTTTAACCAAGATTACTTAACTTGTAAGTGCATTATGGATCAGACATCTTACTATTTCTGATACTTTGATTTATGTTTGGGGGTATGCTCAATGTTACATGCACCTTCTTATTACTACTGTAAATTCAGAAATTATTGCGAGGTTTTTATTAATGCGAATAGTGTGACTGGGTTAGTATCGCAATAATTAGAACTCGCATTCTGTTATCTGATATATGCATCTGTATGTAGAATTTCCTTAAATCACAATAATTAATCTCACATTTTTGTCCATTCTTCATAAATTGCAATAATAAACGCACGCAATAATTTCTGAATTTACAGTATTTATCTTTTCTCACATTTAGGAAGTTATCAGTTGAGATGATGGTGTCATGTCGTAATTTTTGCCTAACAATTTTCAGCATTAATGGCCCTAAACACATACAGTAACCTTATGCAGTTTACTTCATAGACATTATTGGAACATTTTGTAGTTGATAAAATGTATGGTCAGCATGTATGGAGATTATTTTGATAATTGTGTTAAGAGTTATGACCCTTTGTACCCTTATATACACTAGTTATAGAATAGAAGTCAAAATGTAGCCATGGAATGTGAAATGCAGACTGATAAACAACATCATGACAACAAAACTTCAACAAATGTTTTGATTAATTAACAAACGAAATATAAATACAAAGTAAATAGATGTTAAGTTTAATCATTATTTTTCATCATCTTTTTAAAGCGTGAAAATAGAACAATCAATGCCATAAAATATTGTCTGCTAGATCTAGTAAGACATTTGTGAAAATCTTGTTTATATCACGTTCAATTACTGAATGTGTACTTTTTTACGTGTGTAATTATTTTTTTAGTATTGCTGATGAATTCGTGTGTATTTAATTTTGCAATATTTCCAAAAATATCGAGACATATTTTTAGTCCCCTATCGACGAAGTCGAAGGGGACTTTAGGTTTGCACTCCGTCCGTCCGTCTGTCCATCCATATTTTTCTTCGTGCTTGAAGATATTTATTTGATATTTGGTGTATTGTTTAATCATGACAAGTTACAGATCAAGTTCCAATTTTGCTCTGGTCTGACGATTTTTTGCAGTTATGGTCCCTGAACTAAGAAAAATTCACTCAAATAATCAATTTTCCACATTTTTTTTTTGTCATGCTGTCTCATTGGCACTCATACCACATCTTCCTATATCTATTGAAGATATTGACCTGATGATTGGTGTAAAGTTTTATCATGACAAGTTACAGATCAAGTTCGAATTTTGTCTGGTCTAATGATTTTGTGCAGAGTTATGGTCCTTGGACTTAGAAAAATCACTCAAATAACCAATTTTCCACATTTTTTTTGGTCATGCTTGAAGATATTGACTTGATATTTAAGTCTCCCAAACGAAGTTTGGGAAGACTTATTGTTTTTGCTCAGTTATTATTATTATTATTATTATTATTATTCCTCTTCCTCTTCCTCTTCCTCTTCTGCCGCTTTTAAATTTGAACTTGTCCGCACCCGTTCTCCAAAACCGCTTGTCAGATTAACTTAGGGTTTCACAATATGTTAGACTATCATGTCTAGTGGTGCAATCAGGGTTTTGTTTGTGCAATGGGGTTTATAAAGGGGTACTTTGAGGGGCAAAAAGAAAAGAGGGTTTTACTATAGAACCCTATGGGATTTTATTTTTTAAAATTTTCAAATGATTATAAATTGAAAACCGTTTGTGATAGACACAATCTTTTTAATTGAAAATGTTCCAAATGATAAAACCCATTAAATGAAATACAGGGTTAGTCCCCAGGGGTCATCCCCACCCCCTGCCATTTAAGAAAGTTCTAATACCTTGTAAGTGGTCAAGATCCCCACCCCTAAACCATATATATTCTGGTTTGTCATGCTAAGATGTTTGAATGATATACAGGGTTAGTCCCCAGGGGTCATCCCGACCCCCTGCCATTTGAGAAAGTTCTAATATCTTGTAAATGGTTGAGATCCCCACCCCTAAACCATATATATTCTGGTTTGTCATGCTAAGATGGTTTGAATGATATACAGGGTTAGTCCCCAGGGGTCCATCCGACCCCCTGCCATTTGAGAAAGTTCTAATATCTTGTAAATGGTCGAGATCCCCACCCCTAAACCATATATATTCTGGTTTGTCATGATAAAGCACATGAAATGATATACAGGGTTAGTCCCCAGGGATCACCCCCACCCCATGCCATTTAAGAAAGTTCTAATATCTTGTAAGTGGTCAAGATCCCCACCCCTAAACCATATATATTCTGGTTTGTCATGCTAAGATGTTTGAATAATATACAGGGTTAGTCCCCAGGGGTCATCCCGACCCCCTGCCATTTGAGAAAGTTCTAATATCTTGTAAATGGTCGAGATCCCCACCCCTAAACCATATATATTCTGGTTTGTCATGCCAAGATGATTTGAATGATATACAGGGTTAGTCCCCAGGCATCACTAATGCATATAACTTTACTGGACCAAACCAATTTTCACTGGACTTTGCCCAATGTCAGGCGACCCTGGGAATTACGAATTATGGGAGCTTCGTTTGGGAGACTTCGTAACAGCATCCTGTTACAATCATTTCTTGTTGTTATATAGTTTACCCCATGACAAGTTATAGATCAAGTAAGCATTTTGTTCCAGAACGATGAATTTTTAACCAGTAGGGGACTATGTATTGCCAGGCAATACTCACAGAATGCTTGTTTTTTAATGAAGTCAGTACAAATGGGCATTTAACAGGATAGGTAGCCTTAACTGATTATTGTTGATAGTGAGTACAGTTTAGACTGTAAGTTGTTAATTACACAATACAGCTGTCATATTTGGCTTTGGGTATTATTTACTACTCCTTTTATCCTCAATCAGTTTTCTGTATAAATCATTGGTGTTGCTTTAAGTTTGACAGGTTATGTAAGGTATATAACAAGGTAAACATAAATGGGATTATTCTCATTGTTGAAGGCCGTACAGTGGCATACAATTGCTTACTACCACTTCATTTTAACTCTGGTGGATAATTGTCTCATTGGCAATCATACCACATCCCCTCATTTTTGTCGAGCCTGGGACTTCTGTCGAAGAAAGCTCGACATAGGGATAGTGATCTGGCGGAAGCGGCGTTAACTTCTTAAAAGCTTAATATTTTAGAAGGTAGAAGACCTGGATGCTTCATACCTTGTATATAGATGCCTTAAGATATGAAGTTTCTGTCTGTCATATGTCCATTGTCCTTGACCTTATTTTCATAGTTCAGTGACTACTCGATTTTTTGTAATGTTAATTTCTCTCTTATAATGAGTAATAGGATAACTATATCTGGTATGTGCGTACCTTGCAAGGTCCTCATGTCTGTAAGACAGTTTTCACTTGACCTCGACCTCATTTCATGGATCAGTGAACAAGGTTAAGTTTTCCTGGTCAAGTCCATATCTCAGATACTATAACCAATAGGTCTACTATATTTGGTATATGTAATGATTGTAAGGTGTACATGTCCAACTGGCAGGTGTCATCTGACCTTGACCTCATTTTCATGGTTCAGTGGTAAATGTTAAGTTTTTTGTGTTTTGGTCTGTTTTTCTAATACTGTATGGAATAGGTCAACTTTATTTGGTGTATGGAAGTATTTTATGATGTACATGTCAGTCTGGCAGGTTATATCTGACCTGGACCTCATTTTCATGGTTCATTGCTCAATGTTAAGTTTTTGTGTTTTCGTCTGTTTATCTTAAACTTTAAGCAATAGGTCAACTATATTTGGTGTATGGAATGATTGTAAGGTGTATGTCTGTCTGGCAGGTATCATCTGACCTTCACCTCATTTTCATGGTTCATTGGACATGTTCAGTCTTCTTGGTTAACTTTGTTTCTTATATACTATAAGCAGTAGGTCAACTAAATTTGATGCATGGAATGATTTTAAGGTGTACATGTCTGTCTGGCAGGGTTCATCTGACCTTGACCTCATTTTCATGGATCATAAATGTTAATGTGATACTTGTAGTAAAACTTTATATTTAGGACTTATTGACTATCAACATAAATTCAATGGTCAGCCTAGTAGGTGAGACATTTCAGCGTGAGCACTCTTGTTATATATATGCACAGTTATACCTGCAGGAATATTTATTCAAGGGTTTTGTAAGCTGAGTTTGTATTCGTGTGTATGTAGTTTTCACAAAAATATACATCCTGTATGACAAAAGTACATACATGTATACAGTAGTTTTTTTAAAATGCAGGAAAAATTCAAATTTAAATAAAGTTTTACATTAATAAAATTATAAAAATATATATTTTACATGAAAATTATCATAATTAGAATAGAGAATGGAAACGGGAGAATGTGTCACAGATAAAAATAAATTTGCTTCGCTGAGCGCAGCTGAATACGACCACAGATGTCCAACCCTGAAAAGTTGGGGCCAAAATGGACACAATATTCACGCTTGATACAGGTCTGAATTTGGGTTGTAATTAAATTTTTGACACATAATAGGTTTCTGACACAGAATAACTATAGTCAAAGAACTTCAAATTGGCTATATGATTTGTTTTTGCTTTTGTGCAATACACTATGTGAATTGACCCCCCCCCCCCCCCTCCATTTTTTTTTTTTGCGTTTGTGCAATACACTATGCTGTTGAATATTAACCCCCCAAAAAAAAATATTTGAAGAAATTTTGTTTTAATTTCTGAAATCTGAAATGAGAAAAATTGTCCCTTTTAATTTTTTTCACCTCCCCCCTTTCCCTTATTCCTAAAAATAATTCTTTCCCTCAAGTTATGGTCAGTATCTCAGACAATCATCATTTCTTAATACATAATTTACAAGCAGTGTAAGGGAGGTAATCAAACATTGTTATTTAAATTGATTTGGATTTTGATTTGGATTACCTCCCTTACACTGCTTTTAAATTGTCTCAATTGTCCTTTAACCAGAAAAACCCTTGTTTTTCCCCTTTTTTTGCCCCTAATTCCTAAATGGTTTGAGCCATAACCCCCCCAAAGTCAATCCTAACCATCCCTTTGTAGTATGGAAACTTGTGGTATAATTTCAGAGAGATTCATACTGTCACTTTAACACAAGTTATTGTCTGGAAACTACAAAAATGCTTATTTGGGCCCCTTTTTTGGCCCCTAATTCCTAAACAGTTGAGACCATAACCCCCAAATCAATCCCAACCTTCTATTAGTGGATACAAACCTTGTGTTAAAATTTTATTGATTTCTATTTACTTATACTTAAGTTATTATACGGAAACCATCTGTCTTTGGACAACGCTGACGACGACAACGTGATACCAATATACGACCAAAATTTTTTTAATTTTTACGGTAGTATAATGACTCAGTATGCTTTCAAATGCAGGTATTGCAAAAGGTCAGGCTGAAATAAAATGTTCAAACCCATGTTTTAATATAAATGGAGAATGTGTCCATGGGACACAAATGATGCCCCTGCTTGCATATAACGTTATAAAGAGACATAACTAGAGAACTGTAAAAAGTGACGCCACTTAAATTCAAACTTGATCTGAGTTTTATGGTAAAAAGCATTTTGTATAAGTTTCATAACATTTGGTTGAGGCAATCTAAAGTTGGAGAATGGAAACGAAAAATTCAGCAATTTTTCCATTTATAAAAGTAACGCCACCCAATTTTTACTGTTGTGTACAAGTTTTATAACATTCAGCAATTTTTCCATTTATAAAAGTGACGCCACCCAATTTTTACCGTTGTGTACAAGTTTTATAACATTTGGTGGTTGGCAAACTAAAGTAAGAGAACGGAAACTAATTTTGGGACGCACAGACTGACAAAGGTAACACTTAATGCTCCCTCTGCCACGAGGGCACAATAAGAAACTAGAGGCTCTAAACATGCTAAAGAGCCTGTGTCACTCACCTTGGTCTATGTGCATATTAAACAAAGGACACAGATGGATTCATGACAAAATTGTGTTTTGGTGATGGTGATGTGTTTGTAGATCTTACTTTACTGAACATTCTTGCTCCTTACTTTTATCTCTATCTATAATGAACTTGGCCCAGTAGTTACAGTGGAAAATATTTTGTAAAAATTTTAAAAAATTTACAAAATTTATGAAAATTGTAAAAAATTGACTATAAAGGGCAATAACTCCTTAAGGGGTCAATTGACAATTTTGGTCATGTTGACTTATTTGTAGATCTTACTTTGCTGAATATTATTGCTGTTTACAGTTTATCTCTATCTATAATAATATTCAAGATAATAACCAAAAGCTGCAAAATTTTCTTAAAATTACCAATTCAGGGGCAGCAACCCAACAATGTGTTGCCTGATTGGTCTGAAAATTTCAGGGCAGATAGATCATGACCTAATGAACAATTGTATCCTCATCAGATTTGCTCTAAATGCTTTGGTTTCAGAGATATGAGCCAAAAACTGCATTTTACTCTATGTACTATTTTTTAGCCATGTCGGCCATCTTGGTTCACAGGCCGGGTCATCAGACACATTTTTAAAACTAGATACCCTAATGATGATTGTGGACAAGTTTGGTTAAATTTGTCTTAGTAGTTTCAGAGGAGAAGATTTTTGTAAAAGATTACAAAAATTTACGAAAAATGGTTAAAAATTTCCTATAAAGGGCAATAACTCCTTAAGGGGTCAACTGACCATTTTGGTCAAGTTGACTTATTTGTAGATCTTACTTTGCTTAACATTATTGCTGTTTACAGTTTATCTCTATCTATAATAATATTCAAGATAATAACCAAAAACGGCAAAATTTCCTTAAAATTACCAATTCAGGGGCAGCAACCCGACAACAGGTTGTCCGATTCAGCTGAAAATTTCACGGCAGATAGATCTTGACCTGATAAACAATTTTACCCCCATGTCAGATTTGCTCTAAATGCTTTGGTTTCAGAGTTATAATAAGCCAAAATCTACATTTTACCCCTATGTTCTATTTTTAGCCATTGCAGCCATCTTGGTTGGTTGGCCGGGTCACTGGACACATTTTTTAAACTAGATACCCCAATGATGATTGTGGCCAAGTAGTTTCAGAGGAGAAGATTGTTGTAAAAGTTAACGACTACGGACGACGACGACGGACGACGGACGCCAAGTGATGAGAAAAGCTCACTTGGCCCTTTGGGCCAGGTGAGCTAAAAATACTTAGATTTCTTTCTTTAAGAAAACAAATTCTGCTTATAATATGATGAATGTTGTCTGGATGTCCCAATGTGAACATTTAAGGTTCAAGACAAAATCTTTTGAGTCATAAGGAATATAATTCTATCAAACTTTGCATAATGACCCATAGGAACAGGAAGGCCCCTAATGATTTTGGGGTCAATAGGTAACAACAGCTATTGGTAGACTGAAATTAGGGCAAAATTTTGGTTTTTTGGTTGTTGTAAATGGACCATGCAAGTATATCCAACTTTTACTAAACTTGTTCAGATAATGCACTATGGCGGATAATTGTCTCATCGGCATTCATACAACATCTGATTTTATATTCATTGATCTCGATTCAAAAATCTATTTCTTCTACAAATCCATAAAGATCACAAATCAATTCATGCACCCATGGTGTTATTGTAATTTTTTTTATTTTTTACGTAAAAAAAACCAATTTAACCTCCTATAAGAAAACTATGTCAGATCAAAAGATACATACATACAAAACAGCAAAACAAATATTAATAAGTAAAGCCAAACCTAAAGTAAACAATAAAACACTTGAATTACTAGATCTCCCATTGTGAACCTTTTCTATTACACTATTCAATTCTTTTGTAAATGTACCAAAAGAAAATCTTTCTTCAACTCGTTTACGTCCAGCACTTCCCATTTTTTTACGTAAGGACTTGTCAGATACAAATTTTTCCATTGCTTCCACAAAGTGCTCTGGTTCTGGAGGACATAAAAATCCAGTTGTCCCATCCTCTATGGTCTCCAATGGCCCACCACTTTTAACAGCTATCACAGGACACTGCATGTACATAGCTTCAACTGGCACTATACCAAAATGTTCCTTGTCTGGTGTATATAGAAGGCATGTACAATTTGAAAGCAGTGTTCTTTTATCTGAATCGCTAAATGATCTTAAAAAGGTTACATGATCCTCAAGACCTAATTTATGAACAAGCTCCATTAATTCAAGGTAATGTTCTTTATTCTCCAATACTCTTTCATCGTAACCTCCTGCCATTATTAAATGTACACCTTTATTGTTTCCTAGCTTCTTCTGTAGCATGCCTTAAAAATAAAAATATTCAATTTTGCAAATAGTATGGACAAAAGCATGACTAGAAATGGGAATATATTAGCCTTTATTGTCCGAAATAAAGAGAAGCAAACAATCGAATCATCCACAGTTAAACATAGAGAAAATAATACGGTATAATTAATTATAAAACTTAATATTTATTGTTACAACTCTAATGTATCAATTTTATCTACAATGTAAGTGACAAAGGACGGACAAGGGTAACACTTAATGCCCCCTTGCTTACAGTGGGGGCATAAAAATATTCAAAAAGGATAAAACTTTGAAACTCACAACTGAGTGAACTGCATATGTTACAAAGCAAAAAGGTAAACTGTTGGAGAGATTTTGTATTGACAAACTTTCTTGTATTTAGTCAAACACAAAGTTTTGCTTTTCGAAGTGAAATACAAATGTAGCAATGACTTATGAAGAAAAAGCAATGTTTTGCAGGTTACAGGGAAATAATACCGTAACAGTCGTTGCTCAAAGATCCCCTAGGAAAAATTGATTCTACAACTCACATTTTTAAAACGAATACCGGTAATCAATATTCTCTTATTTTCAATAAGTTTGAAAAATTTTCTGTATTCTCTAGAATGTTTATACAATCATGATATAAATATTTGAAAAAGAGATATCTTGCATACATCTTAAAAACAAACAAATCAAACTACTGTGGATTCATTTATTTTCGTGGATATTTGATTTCATGATGTTGCCAAAGTTTGCATATTAGCCTATAGAAAATTTGTACTTTATTGAACATTCGAAATTGTGGTTCACTTATACCTACCAAATCCAAGAAAATTGGTATCCAACAAATAATAATGCATTCACTGTAAATAAATTAAGGATTTTATACATCCTGTTCTTAGTTAACAAAGTAACAAATCAACTACATACCAAATGATTCTACTGCTAGGTTGAGATTCTTCTTCCTCTCATATCTGTTAATTGACAGGAATATTGTTGTTTTATTTGGAGGTATTATATCAGCAGATGTTTCCAATGGCTGGTCTAAGGCTTTAAAGTTTGGTATTGGGTACAAGACCTTTGGATTTACAGATGTTAAAGACTTAAAGGTTTCATTAAATATACCAGCTGAAAAACAAACAAACAAGGAATAAGTTTTTGTAAACCATACAGTACACACGTGGTGATTCAGATAAAAATCACTCTTGCTGTTATAAAAGATTCACAGTGAAATAGTACAATGGTTGGTGACTAAGAGTGATAATAGTCTTACATGTATTTACAACCTGGCTGCATATACTACCAGGGCCTTGGTGGACTAGTGGTCCAAGTATCACTAGCCTGTTAACACTGAGGTTGTGAGTTCAAACCCTGCACTTGGCAGGTGCACTCAACTCCATTCTTAATTGACAAGGATTGTCAGTTTTCCTGCCGAATGTCATCGTTCTTTCTGGGCACTCTGGCTTCCTCCACTGATAAAAGCTGACCACCACAAAATAGCCAATAGTGCTGAAAGTGGTGTTAAATGCCAATCAATCAATTAATCATATATTACCAATAAATTTATATATACATTTGTAGAGTATTTTCAAAGTGATTTATCACAAACCACCAATATTCACTATAAAATTTTGTTAACTGAATCTTCTTGTGTATATTGTCTTTACATGTCACATGTACATGTACATATGTAAAGTATACCACAGTTCATTGTGTTTTTGCTTACTAATACTTTCCCTTTTTAAATCACATAAATTCAACGAAGATATTACAGGCAAAACTCCCCTTTTAAAAATTTGTGCTGGCAAATGACATTGTTGATAGTTTGTTGTCTCTCCTGACTGAGGAGCCAATTTACAAACCACAAAAACTTTTGCATCTCTATCTAAATTAATGGTTCTATTATCTTTACAGGTATTTAAACAATTAAAATTAATGTTTAGCCCATATGTGAAGTTATTTATAAGATAGCAGGGTCTTTTTATATAGAGAGACATTATACAATCTCATCCACCATCTTGGAAGTGAAAATTAGTATCTATAACGGAAATGAAATAACCATGGATAAAATTGGACTCTCTCTTACCAGTAAATTTACTGTTTACAAGGACACAATCAGCCATTCCAGTAGTTTTTTCTTCTAACCAGTCAATAGGAGCTCTGTACCATTTCTTTAGCAGACTTTCTCTCTTTGTTAGAAGCATGTCAGGGAAATGACAGTAAAATAACACTCTGGCATTAAATAGTTTTAAAATATATATACATGCTGATATCTGGTCACAGAAGATAACATCATACTCAATTGGAGGGGAGAACACCACAAATAATGCTGCATACAACATTCTCAAGTAGGCACACAATGCCTGACATCTGCCAAAAATTCCCCTGGGTAGCCAATCACCCACTGTTGTTACAGACAGAGTTCCATCCCTTGTTTCTTCAAAACAATGATTTATGTCATGGTGTGAAGTCACAAAGTGAACTTGATGACCTTCTGATTTCAGGGCTAGAGCAGCATCTATGACTGCCCTCTCAGCTCCACCTATTCCAAGATCTGGATGCAAGAAGAGGACTTTCAGGTTCACCATTACTGAGAAAAATCTGGAATTACACAAAGTATGTTTTTAGCCTTCATCACAAAATGTTTCATTTCTTTATGAACTTTTTTTAGTCCCCTACCAACAAAGTCGAAGAGGACTTTAGGTTTGCACTCCGTCTGTCTGTCTGTCTGTCTGTCAGTCCATCTGTCAGTCCGGCAAATCAGTTTTCCAGACTTTTTTTCTTCATGCTTGAAGATATTGATTTGATATTTAGTTTATTGATTTATCATGACAAGTCACAGGTCAAGTTCAATTTTAACGATTTTAGCTTTTCTCTTTGTTCAGTTAAAGCCCTTTCCCTAGAATTAAATTTTTGATGAAATACTTATTAATTAGTAGATTTCTGTTCAAAGGGAAATAACTCATTTTTTAAAAGATTTAAAAGACAAAATGACATTTTGGATTTTTTTCCTTTTCTTTGGTAAATTGTTTGAAGAATTTAGTGGTAGGTTTGTTTGTCATTCATGAAGATATTGATTTGATAATTAGTATATAGTTTTATCATGACAAGTTACATATCAAGTTGGAATTTTGTTCGTCTGATAATTTTGTGCAGAGTTATGGTCTTTGGACATAGAAAATTCACTTAAATAATCAGTTTTCAACAGTTTTTTTCGTCATGCTTGAAGATTTTGACTTGATATTTTTATGTAGTTTACACCATGACAAGTTATAGATCAAGATAGAATTTCGTTCCATTAAAATGAATTTGTAACCGGTAGGGGACTATATATTGATGGCAATACTCACAGAATGCTTGTTTGTAATTGTATTGTTTTTTTTATTATTTGTTTTTGAGGGATTTTTTTTAGGGGGTATTATAGAAAGGAACATTTACATTTCAAATCAAGAAATTAAGTGAGAGAAAGTCTAGAGCTTCATTAAAACAAGTTGACAGATGTTTTATGGTTATAACAAATTTAGTAATGTTAATGTTATTCCAAATACATGTACAGGAAAATATTAAATTTGATAGGGCCATGGATGGTTATGTAGAAATCAGTATCCATTAAGAATTCATAAATCATGACTAATAATAATCATTTAAAAGAAAAATCTTCAACAACATCAGGAAAAGTGAAATGTAATGTTAAGTTTGTAGAGTCATACACCTCAATGTTATATGTACCGTACATGAGAGGTAATTTTTTAATAGATTTTTGTATAATGATTTTAAAATGCAGATCAACTTGCTTAGATTCAGGGCAATTTAGAACTTCACTATAAATTTTGGTATAAGCACATGTTATTGAAGACCATTAGTGTATGTTGACCCCTAGATGTCCTTTGGGTTTTGTTTTTTGTTTGTTTGGTTGCAGTGAATCCATGACAACTCGCCCCACTGCCAAATCGACCCACACTAAATTGCCCAACTTATAAAAAAGGGTAAAATCACGTTGAATTTAGTCCTGCCAACTCGCTCCACATATGAAAAAGAGTTTAATTACGGGGAATTTAGTCTTGCCAACTGGCCCCACTTATGAAAAAAATATTAAAATCCCGATAATTTAGTCCTGCCAACTAGCCCCACTTATGAAAAAGAGTTTAATCACGATGAATAAAGGTCTGCTAACTCTCCCCACTAATGAAAAAAAATTTAACCATACTACATTAAAGACTACTAACTCGCCCATCTTATGAAAAGGAGTTTAATTTCTGCTAAGTGGACCCACTAATGAAATAAATGGGGAATGTGTCCATGGGACACAGATGATGCCCCCGCTTGTATATAAGATTATAAAGAGACATAACTCAACAACAGTAAAAGTGACACTACCCAAATCTGTTCTTCATCTGTGTTTTGTGGTAATAAGCATTGTGTATAAGTTTCATAACATTTGCTTGAGGCAAACTTAAGAGAACAAAAACAAAAAATTCAGCAATTTTTCCAATTGTAAAGGGGCATAACTTTAGAACAGTAAAAGTGAGGCCACCAAAATTCATACTTGATCTATGTTTTGTGGTAATAAGCATTGCATATAAGTTTCATAACATTTGTTTGAGGCAAACTAAAGAAAGAGAACGGAACCGAAAAATTCAGCAATTTTTCCATTTGTAAAGGGGCATAACTCTAGAATGGTAAAAGTGACGCTACCCATATTCAAACTTGATCTGTGTTTTGTGGTAATAAGCATTGTTTATAAGTTTCATAACATTTGGTTGAGGCAATTTAAAGAAAGAGAACGGAAACGAAAAATTCAGCAATTTTTCCATTTGTAAAGAGGCACAACTCTAGAATGGTAAAAGTGACGCTACCCAAATTCAAACTAGATCTGTTTTTTTTTGTGGTAATAAGCATTGTGTATAAGTTTCATAACATTTGGTTGAGGCAAACTAAAGTTAGAGAACGGAAATGAATTTTGGGACGTACGTACATACAGACAGACAAGGGTAAAACTTAATGCTCCCTCCACTACGGTGGGGGCATAAAAAAGAATTAAACCGTACTGAATTAAGGCCTACCAACTCGCCCTACTTAAGAATTAAATGAATACTGATGAAACCATAGAAATGGATCTTGTTTTATTTTTACTTTTATTTCTTTTGGTTGAAACGAAGCAGAAAGAAGTAAGTATCAGCATTTCTGTGATGTATGATGTTATTGACCATTGTAACTGTTTAAGATGTTTGTTTTCTGGACTAAATTCAACATGATTTTACCCTTTTTCATAAGTGGGGCGAGTGGGTAAACAAGAGTGGGGTGAGTTGGTGGAAAAGTGGGGCGATTTTGCAGTGGGGAAAGTTGTCTTGCTTCCGTTGCAGTCTCATTGACATAATACCCACATCCACTTTTATACATATTAAGATTGATTAAATAAGCTCTCTTTTCAATTTTGTTATTTTCACTTTAGTTTTTAATTAAGGAATTATTGCATTGTGCTTGATTCATAAAAGCAATATTTGCTGTGTGGTCAAGTCATAAAAGCAATGTGGCTTTATCTATAGATATTTCCATTATATCATGCAAATGAAAAAAAATACTGGGGGAAAAAAAGAGTTCCATCTTTTTAAATTCAGACCTGACATCGCCTCTTACAGATAATAAAGGTGTTCAATCTAACAAGACCTCCAATTGCCCAACCAATAACATTTATGTTTTACAGATGGTTTCACACTCATTGATTCCAACTAAAAGTAACTGCAAACTTGCCCACAAGTAAATTAAAACTAATACAAGAAATATGAAAAGGAAAAAATGCTCACAAGGAGCACAGCACAATATCAGACATTATTTCAGAAAGAAAACAGCAAGTACAAAGTAAAGTTTGTCAATTAGGGTTTTATAATGTGGGGTATTATTTTGGCAGTGGCTATTTTGCTGGCAATGGCAAAATAGAAATTATGGTATTTTGCCGGCTCTGGTTAAAAAATCTTAATAAAGGCTGGCTAAACAGCATATTTCTATAGCAATGGCTATTTTGCTGGCACTGGAAAAATAGAAAATATGCTATTTTGCTGGCTCTAGTTATTAAGCAGAAGCCAATTTTGCCAGTATGAAAAGATTTTGTTTACAGATATGCAATTCAAAGAACTGACTATTATTTCAAAAGCAAATTTAATTTAAAACATTGTTGATTTTGAAGCTACATGTATGTAATTGATTTTGTTAGACAGTATATTTTTTATTAAACTTATGTTTGCTATGAGATTTTTAATTTTTATTTTCTACAACATATGTAAAGCATAATTCTTTCCAGGATGAAATAACATATGGCAGAAAAAATATTACATATGATAGTGTAAGATTCTTTCCACAGGAAATTATTTCACTGTGAGATATTTTCCATTGACATGAAATTTTGACCAGAAAGTTTTACTGATAGATGGTGCAAAATTGTTGTTTTCAGCAAAAGTAGTCATATTTAACGATTAAAATATTGAAAAGTTAATAAAAAACTAAATCTTTGAAAATACTATGGACTAATAATGAAGAAATTGAATAAAAGCTAAAGGAGTGATTAAAAAAACCCAAACAATTGTCAGGGATCTCCATGGATGAAAATTTAACAATGGAGGAACTTTCACCATGACAAAAACCTGCGTCTACGGAGTGGCGTCATCCAAAGTATTTCATTCCTTCATTTCCATGTAAGAAATGGTGAACAGGCTGATATATTGCTTATTATATTTATTTCATTATAGAAAACCAATATTTTCATTAATTGTCATTTGTAACAATTCCAATGCCAAACCTGCATGGCTCCCCCTTAGTCAAGAATGACCACAAGCTGTCCTTAAGGTATAGAACCACTAATTCAGGCCCGGTTGGAAAGAACATACAAGAAAGTAGTACATATTTTAAACAAAATAGTTCCTACGCATAGCTGTATCTTTGTCAATAGTGGGAATATTTGGGTAGTTTTAGTATCAAATGAAAGGTTGGGGACTTGGGATCACTGTAGAACCCTTGTTGAAAGGTTTATTTGAATAATAAAGAAGTATATGAAATTTTAATAGGAGGGCTCATTTGGCCTGTTGTTCATATCAGAAGTTCCTGTTTTTGTACTATCAAACTTCCGGGAACCAGTATGCTCTAAAATGCAATTAAAGGTATGTTGATTTTTTCAGCACAAGTCAGGATAAGGTACAGTTTTGACATGAAATAACTGCCACTTTATTTGAACTTAAGACAAAGTAGCCATTAATGCTTGAAATTGCAGAATTTAACATAGAAAGCAATGGGGCTATGAATTAGTGGTTTTATACCTTAAGGTTCCCATGTTGTTTTCTTGCTATTTTGGTAATGAATATGGCTTAAAAATCGGGGGGATCTTTTTTTTTTTCACTGTCAGAAGTCATGAACCGGTATCGACAATTTGCAGCATCAACAACAAGAAGTTTCGTACCCGTTTTTTAAAACGCTAAAGAAAGATTTGGAGGGCAAACATTTACAACTAAAAAGGTTTTAATGACTTTAAACAGCGTATGTCATAGTAATATACTATGCAACATGCATCTTTTGATTCTGAATGTAAACTGGAAAACCGGATGTATCAATTTGATTGTAAACTACGAAATGAATTCGGAATTACAGTACGAAATTTCTTCAGATTATCAAGTTGTCGAGAGTTGGTTGACCGTTACGGAATAACCATTTCACAGATGATATCGGATATGTTCCTTATGTCGTAACTACAATTGAATACCCTTCCCTTTTCACGAATGTGACCTACCGAATTAGACTATTTACCGGATTTGTAATTATAAGCAACACTATGGGTGCCACATCTGGAGCAAGATCTGCTTACCCTTCCGGAGCACCTGAGATCACCCCCAGTTATTGGTGGGGTTCATGTTGCTTAGTCTTAAGTTTTCTATGTTTTGTCACCTGTACTATTATTTGTCTGTTTGTCATTTTATTTTTGGCCATGGCGTTGTCAGTTTGTTTTCGATCTATGAGTTTGACTGTCCCTCTGGTATCTTTCGTCCCTCTTTTGAGGTTAATATTTCATGTATTTACTTTTAAACTTGTAAAGTTATTCAACATTATCGATAATTGCTGTACTCATGTTATTTGGCATGAAATTATGTTCTGTTTTACGTCTTATTTTGTACTCGTTTAAAAAGGGGAATGCTGATTGCGTAAGTCAATATAAAAGCATGTGTTCAACTTGTTTAGTTAAACTATTTTCCATGTCCATGTCTGGAAACTATTTCCGGTGACAAATCTTCTGTCAGAAAAAATATCACAGAGGACGAAATAAACCGTTACACATACAATTAAAAAATCTAAGATTTTATTCTTATTTATACATGTAGCATTAGACTGTGACTGATTTTAGAACTAAATTTTTTGATATGATTCCATTGCTACAAATGGATGCTCAATATTTTTATTTTTATATCTTTTTACAAATTCTTATTTTCACTTTGACTCATCAATGTTTTTAAACGATTATATGTATCTCAAATATTGTTACTGTTATCTTATTTAACATTATGAGTAAATCAGAGTAATAATTTGATTCTTTTATGTTGACAATAAACATTTTCGTAGTACTTTTCAAAAGTAAATATCAAAATTCACTCTTAACACAGAACTGGCAAAATAACAAATTCACTATATTGCCAACGCCAGCAAAATAGCCATTGCTATAGAAATATGCATACCTGCCAACTATCCCGATTTATGGGGATATCCCCCATGAGAGGTGTTGACCTGAATTTTGAAATTCTTTATTATTTAAACTGAAGATCTCAAAACAGTCATTTAAATGAGTTAAAAGGGTATTTAAGCACATATATACTCATACAAACAATATAGTAGTAGATGAAGGACACTTATGACAATATAAGAGGAGCATTAGGTCCTCTTGCGCTTAAAATCCCCCATGGAGACTACAATAACTTGTGTGTAAGTGTATGGATCTTTATGAAATTGTACTACAAGGTTCCATATCACAAAGGGAAAGCTGGGTTTGAGTTTGGGAGTAATTGCCCTAAACGTTTTGGAATTTGGGGCCAAAAAACAAGCATTTTTCTAGTTTCCAGACAATAACTTGTGTTCAAGTGTATGGATCTCTCTGAAATTGTACTGCAAGGTACCATACCACAAAGTGAAGGTTGGATTGATTTTGGGGGTTATGGTACCAACAGTTAAGGAATTAGGGGCCAAAAAGGGGCCAAAAATAAGCATTTTTGTAACTTCCAGACATAACTTGTGTGTAAGGGTATGGATCTCTCTGACATTGTACCACAAGCTTCTATATCAAAAAGGGAATGCTGGGATTGATTTTGGGGGTAATTGCCTCCAAATTTTAGGAATTAGGGGCAAAAAAGGGGCAAAAAACAAGCATTTTTCTAGTTTCATGGCAATAACTTGTGTGTAAGTGTATGGATCTTTCTGAAATTGTACTACAAGGTTCCATATCACAAAGGGAAAGCTGGAATTGAGTTTGGGGGTAATTGCCCAAATCGTTTAGGAATAAGGGGCCAAAAATAAGCATTTTTCTAGTTTCCAGACAATAACTTGTGTTCAAGTGTATGGATCTCTCTGAAATTGTACTGCAAGGTACCATACCACAAAGGGAAGGCTGGGATTGAGTTTGGGGGGTGATGAATCATAAGGGGTTCAAAAAAAAATTTGGGGGGGGATTTTTTTTTTCTATTTTAAGACTTTTATAATGTAATGATGTATTTACATTTGTAATTATGGTTGCAAACTCCATTGAAAATGTGAATTGAGATTATGACCATATCTTGAGGGAAAGAATTTTTTTTTTGGAAAAAGGGGGGGGGGAATTTAGGGGGGAGGGGGGTAAAAAAGAAATTGTGGGGGGCAATTTTTTTTTTCATTTCAGATTTCAGAAATTAAAAAGAAAATTTCTTCAAATATTTCTTTTTGCAAAAAAGGGGGGGTTAAATTTTTTTTTTGGAGGGGGGATCAATACGCAACAGCATAGTGTATTTCACAAAAGCAAAAAAAAGGGGTGTAATTTTTTTTATTTTTAAGGGGGGGGGTCAGTTTCACAACAGCATAGTGTATTGCACAAAAGCAAAAAATTGAATATAAATTCAAATCATATATCCAATTCTAAGTTCTTGACTACAGTTATTCGGTGTCAGAAACCTATTATGTGTCAAATATTTAATTACAATCCAAATTCAGACCTGTATCAACATGATCAAGCGTGAATATTGTGTCCATTTTTGCCCCAACTGTTCAGGGTTGGACCTCTGCGGTCGTATCCAGCTGCGCTCAGGATGCCAGGCCTTAAAACTTTCCAAACTACATAGGTAAGTATGTACTCGGAGTAGTTTTTGAGGTGTAAATACGGTCATTTTTGTCCATTCGTTTTGATGAACCTTAAGTAAGTGCCTGTGGCTGTGAAGTCCGTTTGTACTGACACATAAAACTGCAACGTCCCTAAAGTTTACCAAATATTATCAAACTAACCCTTTAGTAAAATACTATTCTCACTGCAAGAATAAATCGATCTACGAGCAACTGTCAGGTTTTCTAAACCATTTGATGTTTTTAGGAAAAAATCTTCTGCACGATTCACAACCGGAAATGGAGTAAGCCGTGTTAAAAAAAGAACCAATTACGGAACTGAAAAATTTGTAATATCCAATCTAGGGCTAATATGGCCGTATTTACACCACACATTTTACTCTGAGTACACACAAACTTGTGCACCTGGAAAAGTTTTAAGGCATGACAGGAACTAGAGATTTAAATTTTAAATGCATTTTATGCGTATAAACTTTTCTGGATTTTGAGGTTCCTTTTTTTTCAGGGGCGGATCCAGCCATTTATAAAAGGGGGAGGGGGTCCTAACCCAGGATAAAAGGGGGGGGTTCCAACTATATGTCCCCATTCAAATGCATTGATCGTAAAAAAAGGGGGTTCCAACCCCCGAACCACCCCCCCCCCCCCTTTTCCCCTGGATCCGCCACTGCACAGAAGGTGCCAAACTAAATTAAGTTTGGAAAAATGTTGGAGATGTTCCCCTATGTAAATGATTGTAGTGAGTTGTATTGATTGATGGACAATAGATATCTGCACAACAATAGGTAATATAAACTGTGTAAATGAGTGACCATATCAAATAAAACTCGAGTGTTTGTTTATTTTATTACCCGTTCTGCAGTCTTAAAAAAAAGGAGTCTCAAATTTTAGGTAAGTGTTTAATTTTCTGAAACATAAAATGCATTCAAGTTTTAATTACGTAGTTTCTTAATTCTATGCCTGAAAACTTTCCTAAGTGCACAGCCGTTTGTCTGTCACAGACCCAGAGTAAATTTTGTGGTGTAAACACGGCCATTTTTTTCAATTCCTTCTGATGAACCTTAGAGTGTCAATATCTACCTACTCTCTTTTTATACCAAAATTATCAGACGACTCCCAAAAGTCGGTAATTTCTTTGACCTCTGACATACGGGACGGCCACAGTGAGTTCCAAAAACAAGCCAGTCAAACGGCTTATGCATGGCAATCTCTCTGACTATTACATGTATAATACCAGAGACACATAATACATTATATGAGCCATATAATACATTATATGTCTCTGATAATACCTATTGTCTTAAACGATTTTTTACAAAATGTTATCAGAGGCGGATTTAGGGGGGAGCCGGGGTGTCAGGGCTAACTTTAAATAAGTCTACATTTACGCCTAATCCAGACTTTTTACCTATTACTCCAAACTTTTTTCAAAATCCTTGATCTGCTTAGCGTTTTATACACATCATGAAAAACTATTATAGATGGACATAAACATTATCAGCAATACAAGTTCTACATATAGGTCACATGACCTTAATTGTCAGTTGATTCTAGGTTGGAGTTTTCACGGTACTTTAATAGGGATTTTTACACACTATTTTGTCGTATTTTTGACTTTATCTAAATAAAACTATTAAGGAAAGATAGGAACGTTTAAAACACCAATAATTATCAAGGAAAGTTTTGCATATATAGTCAATATGACACAAATCCTTGTAATAACAATTGATCATAAATGACAATTTTACACATTTGCAATATTGTTTTACTCATTGCTGTTAACTTAAAACTGACTAAGATATATATAGAAAGTTTGTAGAGCAAATATGATCAAACATAAACATGGTTTTCCCGTTTGAATGGTTTTACACTAGTAATATTTGGGGCCCTTTATAGCTTGCTGTTCGGTGTGAACCAATCTCCGTGTTGAAGACCGTACTTTGACCTATAATGGTTTACTTTTATAAATTTTGACTTGGATGGAGAGTTGTCTCATTGGCACTCATACCACATCTTCTTATACATACTTACAGGAGGTATTGTCTTAAATGACAATTGTTGTACAATATTTTAGCGATGCTGTGTCATCTTGATAACTATAATAGGTATATGATGTTCAGTGGTTGTCGTTTGTTGATATGGTTCATAAGTGTTTCTCGTTTCTCGTTTTTTTTTATATAGATTAGACCGTTCGTTTTCCTGTTTGAATTGTTTTACACTAGTCATTTTGGGGCCCTTTATAGCTTGCTGTTCGGTGTGAGACAAGGCTCCGTGTCGAAGGCCGTACTTTGACCTATAATTGTTTACTTTTTATAAATTGTGACTTGGATGGAGAGTTGTCTCATTGGCGCTCATACTACATCTTCTTATTTATATATAGAGTGTCCTTTAAGCACGTGCCCTTGGTGACTCCTGCATATGAACAACAAAACTATCATTATGGTTTGTATGGCTATTAACTCAATTTATATTTCTTGTTTGAGTTTTTTTTCTTCTGATTTATTGTCTATATTGCAATTGTTTATTATAAAAAAATCACTGTACTGATAATGCCCATAATGGGTCCTCGATTGGAAATAAAGATTTATCTATCTATCTATAGACAGAAACTGTAAACAGCAAAAATTGACCAGTATCGAAACCTTACAGGATTATCGACCAATTTTAGCGTTCTGTCTACTACAGAATGTATTTTAAAAACTATTACTGTATATAGACTGAAACTGTAAACAGAAAAAAATATCAGCTATACCAGATTTACAAATAACGACCTTTATTCCCCTTAAAATCGACTTTTGGGTAATTTTACCGTATTTGCTTATAATTGTCAAAACTATAAATAGTTGACAAGAATAATAATTAGTGTCATTAATGTACGTCACAAATACTCATAGCATATTGTCAAATGATCACAACTTTTACCACGTTTCAAACAAACTGAGTAACGCATTTATACATTTGCATGGGAAGCATACTTCTATGAGAAAAAGGCGAAAACACAAAAATGAGAAAATGCGAAAATGCGAAAATGCAAATAATGCGAAGGCGAAAACTCGAAGCATCGACGATTTTGCCTTCGTGTTTTCGGTTCTGGGATATCAACTTGAGGCTAAAACGCGTAATGACCGCATCTGACCACCATAGAATAAACGCAATGTTATTAAATATTCAAAAAATTGTAAACATCAGACATAATCAGCATATCAATTGACGCCTTATAAAAGTAATTGCACGGATAAGTGACGATATTAGCATTTAAAGCATTTCTCCCTATTATCTTGCAAACTTTTAATGATAGACATAAATTCTGACGGTAAACATGATGAACAATACGCGTTGAACAATAATGAAACATGACCAAAACTATCAATTGACTGTATATTGGAGTTACTGCCCTTAAATTACTACTTTTACCCACTATTGCAGTTTAGTTTTAAAGTTCTACATCTCTGCATAACTTCTGGGACAATTTAAACCAAACTAGACAAGAACAACCATAAGTGTCATTAACGTACATCTTCATTTATTCATATTAAAAAAATCAGTTTCTCTTTTATTCTTTTTCTTTTAGGTTGGGGGAGGGTCAGTGGACTGTTTTTATTGGCCGAATTTGCAGGAAAACGCGGGGCTCAAACCAGAAGAGATATATTTTAGATTGTGCTGCTGGTTCTCGCATTAGCATATGAACTCTTACAAGTATAAAACTGTTTGCCGGTTTATTCACGAATGCATTGTGTATGCAGTTTTTATTTAGATCGTCTCCCAACCACAGACTTTTCGGGAATCCTTGACGTCACAAATAGTCCTAGTATATTGTCAAATGATCACAACTTTTACCACTTTTCAAACAAACTGAGTAACGCATTTATACATATGCATGGGAAGCATACTTCTGTGACGAAAAGGCGAAAGCACAAAAATGCAAAAATGCGAAAATTGCAAATAATGTGAAGGTGAAAACGCGAAGTATCGACGATTTTGCCTTCGCGTTTTCGGTTTTGGAATATCAACTTGAGGCTAAAACGCGTAATAGCCGCATCTAACCACCATAGAATAAACACAATTTTATTAAATATTTGCTAAACATATTGATTTTACTATAAATCAAAATGTTAATTTGAGTTCGTTTACACATGATGAATTGTGGTATGGAGGCAAGCCAGTAATTTCTATGACTTTCTTCTATTTCACGAAAGATAATGTTCTTGACAAAATAAATTATTCCTAAGACTGTTCATTTCTTTCACAATAAATAAACTGTATTGATTTGGAAAGTTCATGACAACCTGTTGAGCCGTTTGTCCGTTATACATCGAAATGTATATAATTAAAACAAAATTGGCGCTCAATAAGAGTATAAGAACAGCAATTGCCTTTATTAGGCGAGTGACAAAAAAAGCTGTTATCTGGTAATATTGATTAAGTATATAATGTAATTATTTGGAAACACGATGTCTTGCCTTATTTGTGAAATCTTTACTTAAGCCTTGTATATTGGAAAATTGTATGTCTATATTCAGATAGATATGAAAATATAAAAGCAACCCCCGTCTTTTGTACACGTGTTTTTGTACCTCCATTAATAAATACCTATATAAACTTAGAAACTAAATAAAGAGGAGTTGTGAGGCAGACTTTTTGCATAACACACTCACTTCAGATGCGTGGGCATTTTGGTTGTTGTTAGAAACATATACTTTTGATCTCGGTGGTAATACTAATAGAAGCAATTGAATAATTTACTACATCATGATATTAACTAATGATTCTACATATATTATGCGACCGATAGATGAACTTATACTTGACATCTATAATACTTTGTTAACTGAGCGACTATTGGTATCATAACTTGCGATCACAGATGCGACAGACCAAACAAAAAAAAAATGAGAAAGGAGTCATAAAAAATATAAATGATACCAAAAGGAAAAAAAAAATCTGCATAAATATCACGGTGATTGGTATCAATTTAAGAAATTCAGAAGATAATTCCAATTCTGCTTCAATTTAGAGTTAATCTTTTATGCAAATCGGATAGAAATTTAATTTGGAGCAGCTGCACTTATATGTATATCTTTTTCCTGTATTTCATGCATTTTGTAAATTTCATTTTTGTGCAAAAGGTGAAGTTTTTTCTATTGGGCAAATAGATACTGTCCAATTAAAACAACAGACAAAGCTATTTGTTCTAGCTCCCTTGCCCCAAAGGACCAATGTGTTATTGTCATCAGTTGGCTTTTCGTCCTTCTTTCTGTAAACTTTGTCACAGTATACACCTGCTCCTAATGAGGGGGTGTACTAGTGTA